AATTATGTATCAAAGTTATGCATTCTGAAGGTGAACATGGTAAAAGGTGAAAATGATGATAGTGTTGCAACAAGAAAAAGAAAGAAGTAACAAATACTGATTAATATCACTTCTTTGTTACTCGCCAAAATCTCTTTAATACTCGTTTTTGTTCTGTTTTATTTATGATGAAAGTCACGAAGTATATGTTTCCTAATTTGATACGGAGTATATTCGGCACAATTTACATTGTATAAGATGTGTTAAGTTTCTTTGTTACAAAATACAAATCTAACGAGCAATGTCAGTCAGTTCCGACCCAATATTCTAATAATAATAAAGACATGTACAATTTTCAATTTTCAAAGGTGGGACACGCACATTTCTTTTATGATAAATAAAAAATGACGCATAGAATAGGGTGTAGTACGAGTATTATCAAAACAAATTCCCAATTATATTCCATTTTTACTTTCAAAAAATATAAGTATATTCCATTTAAACAAAAATGAAATTGTTCAAAACAACAATGCTTGATGTAACTATTCTTATACCTACCAGGTTTGTGAAGTGTTTTTTTGCACAAACATAATGGGTACAAACATATCTTTTAAAAAGAGATGAGAAAATGATAAATGAAATTGTTCATTTTAAAAATAAAATAATGGGACAATAAATTCTGTAGTGGTGGGTCCAGACCCATTTTGCACTTTTGAGCTTTTTATCGGGTCTACCACATTCGTGCACTTGTCCCTTGAGCTAAAAGAACAGTACATCCCACGGGACGTTTTATCATCCCTCTCTCTACAAATGTCAGATCAAATAATTATATTTCCGTCGGCCATCGAATATGCAAACGTAGCACAATAATAAGAACATGTATTGCCAGTTTTTTTTCAAAATACCCCATCATTGTGATGTGATTTTTGCAACGTTATCTTTTTACGTACCCTTAAATTAAATAAATTTAGAAAAAAAAAGATGCCTACGGTCACATTTATGATATGGGAACGGATGTCTCCTCTTATAAAACATATATATTCTGTACGAATTAATGTATTTAATCATTTGTAAATAGGATAAAGTTAAATGTTTTCTAAGTAAAATAGAATCATGTTAATGACATTTAATTTTCCAACAATTAATGGGTTTGAATCACACATTTATAAATTATTACAAATACGGAGTACAGTATAAGACCTATGGACAGAGGTTGATAGAAAAAATGGGACAGAAATAATGCAATAAGGATTACATTATATTATACATGGTGCATTGGGTAAATACTTAATTGAGGATCTTATCAAACAAAAAAATACTTAATTGAGGAGGTTAATGTGGTATATAGACCTGCTTAATTTGTAAATGCGTTTATATACCAAAAGTTTTCATTTTTCACTTTTTACTAGGGGGTATTATTACGATTTTGAATAGATAGTATACGTATGCAGTATCCATGTACTACTAGTATATAAATAAATATATAATACCCAAAAAATTGAATGGGTATCATAAAAATGTAGATTTCAGATGTGGTGGTACCTATTGAAAGTTAAACCCAGCCTATGTGTCTATGTGTACGTGTGTCATATTTATGACAATATAAATTATTTATTTCATCAAAATAATCATGAAACAAGAATCGTATAAGGAATTTTACATGATACCCCCGATTTCAAATAATTACTCCGTAAATTTTCCAAACACAATTGACAAATTTTCACACCCTTTGCTTGGTTCCTTCCAAGTAAGCAGTTATATTTCAATGTGTAGTGTTTTGTGAAATTCAGCTGCATTTAATGCTTTCAACAAAAAGTTTCAAAACAGAAAAGTTTATCAACCAAATGTATTCGTTAGAGCTTGTCATATGATACATACATTGTGATATGCAGGGGACATGGGGTGGAGGGTGGGAGAGTAACAACATGAGCTTGTACGCAGTACCGGAAATGATGGAGGGAAAGTTGAGAAACGACCGCGAAAAGGCGCGGGAAGGCGGCGGAGACGAGGCAGCGCCCGTGGCAGGGCAAATTCAAAGAGCAGCGAGTGTGTTGAGATACAAGGAGAAGCGGCAGAACAGACTCTTCTCCAAAACGATTCGTTATCAAGTTCGTAAGCTCAATGCCGAAAAACGACCTCGAATTAAGGTATATATGCTGGATTCATTCGTTCGTTCATTCATTCGTTTACTTATGAAAATATAGGTTAATGAAGTGTCTAAATTTTTGTTACTGATTTGCAGGGTAGGTTTGTAAAAAGAGATTGAATGGAAGAGTGTGTTGATCCGGCCGGCGCCACAAGCTAAGGTGTACGTTTTGATGATGTTGGGCAGGGACCGTACCAGCCAAGTCATCTGCGGGCCGCCCATAGTGAATGAGTGCCAGAGATTAATTGAAGATGGGGTCGTGTTTAGTTTTATGTCTCTCTTTTTTTTCCCTTCATTTTTGTGTATCACATTGCTAATTTATAAAGGAAATTAGGAATGTCCACTCACCAATAACAAAGAAATCAACTTCCAATAACCTTTTCAAGAGTGCGAAGAATAAATTAATTCATTAATAAAGCGCGCGGCAGAACTATTTTCAGTTCGGCACCCACACTTCGATCTGATCTTCTCACTCTAAATTCTTAATTGTGGTTTAATTAATTTGGAGCAATTACATCACCCCAAATGTGAAAGTTGGCCGGAGTCCTCATATTAACAGCTGTTCCGATCAAATGGTGCTTGAGATCAATACTAATTAGCACATTCGATTCGTGTGGGTCATACTCTTCTTTGTGCCACTAATTGCAGCCAGTAGTGAGGTATTAGGAGTTCAAAATGTTAAAAAATGACATTTTTTGAATCCCTAATTTCACACATTGGTGTTAAAGAGGGTAGTAAAAATGGGTAAATGGATGGAGGGGATTATATTTGAAGGATGTACTCTCAGCTAAGAAAAAGGGAAAAGAAAATAAAAAAGGAAGTGGGACGGAGGTAGGGGTGGACTTGGGCCGGGCGGCCCGGCCAGGGACCGGTCCGGGTGGGCCGGGCCGGGCTCGGGCCCCTCAAAAGGTGAACCGGCCCGGTCGGTTCGGGCCCGATCCGGGCCAATTTATTTATTTTTTCTTTTTTTTTTTAAATTTTTTTAAGTTTTTGGGTTGGGCTGAGTATTTTGGGCCATTTGAGGTGGTTTGGGGTTGAGGGGGGAGGGTTAATTAGGAAAAGCCAAAAAAAAAAAATGAACCGAGGCCCGGCCGGGCCCAGGCCCGAACCGGCCCGAGTCCACCCATGACGGAGGGCTGCAGTGCGCAGAGGGAAAAGGCAGGGAAAAACGGAAAAGGGATGACATCACTTGTTCATACATTAAACCACAATTTTCTAAAAACACTTAAGTTTTTTTTATTTTTTATCCAATTTTTTTCTAAAATTATATCAAAATTCATGAATTTTTATGATCTTTCACACGACATCAATAAGTAATATATAAAAATAAAAAAACTGATATTTTAATTGTAAGAGTTTTTTGAGTTTAAAATAACACAAAGCACAGATTTTTAATACTCCATATAAAACTTTGCTTGAACTAAGTTCAGTTTTTCTTAACCGAAAAATATTAAACAAAATTAATGAAATTTATCTATTTTACATCGAAATGTGTATTTTTATTTCATAATTATTTAGAGAAAAATTAAAAGGAAAACATTACTTATAATAATTTAATTAATGTTTTATTAGATTGATATTTAAAAAAATATGCACAGTGTATTTTATTAACGGTGTTGGAATGCAGGAAAATAGGAGTTAATGCTGTTTTTTAATGGATGAAATTTATTTTTAACATTTTGGACTCCACATCACTCCAAATGGTCTTAGAGGGCTCATGGCTAAGCTAAATAACTACTCCGTGTGTGGTAGTCTTTTTTGCCTTGCCATCCATATACCTTTTACTCTCAATGTTCATTTGGTAACACTTAATAGCCCGTTTGGTAACACAATAATTAGTTGAATTGACTGATTCCGTCGAAACTTATCAAGTTTTGGCTGAAGTGTTGGATTGACCTATTCCGCTTACATGAAAAATTGTTACACAAAGTCAAAAATTACGTGTTTATTAAAAAAAGTGGAATGATAAGATGATAAGTTGGAAATAGAAGCTACCATCCAAACGGGCTCGCAACAACTCGATATATATAACCTTCATAGTGACAATTATAACCTGCTTGACATATATATTACTAAGAGAGTTTTTCTGGATAAAAGTATGTCTATTCACTGTTACGAGTAACTGGACAAGAGTCATTGTAGTGTATTTCTGAGTGACAAGTCACTGAGAACTAATAACTAAATATGTCACTCTTTTGGAAAAGTTTAAAATAAGTCATATTTTTCTGTTTTAAATTTAATTTATTATATTCATGGAAAAATGCATTATAACCTTCATAGAGTATATCGGCTTAGACCCCTTGGGGACATCCATGTGGCACCTCTCGGCCTAGGGGGTCCCGCAACGGCCAGAACCGGATCAGCTCAGGGCACTGCCTGGAGGACAGATGGGCCTCGTCGGCCATGGACCGCATCGGCCAGAGGACCGCGTCAGCCGAAAGACACCGCATCGGCCAAGAGTTACCCTAGCAGAATGCATTTTCTTACCTTTTTTACTAAGTGTTGTACTCAACCCATTAGTGGCCCTATTCTGCCCAAAGAAGACATGATTATTGTAATGGGCCTCCTAAACCCAAGGCTAGGAGCCCAAATTCACATTTTTACCTATAAATAGACCCCTTGGGGCTAGTTATAGGGGGTTGAGAAATATTAATTACTCACTTTCTCTCTCTAGCTCTCACTTCTCTCTAGAATTAAATACTCTATCAAACCTTATAAGAAATAAGAGTAGAACAATGTGAAATTCTAAAATATGAGTAATATATTTTATCTAACAACATTATAATCATGAATCAAGGTTGGTACCCTTGATTTATGTCAATACACTCTATGCATTAGATGTTGTACATAGTTATTAAAAAGTGGAACCCACTTTCCCATTTGACTTTTTTATCCTTTAAATGCCGTTAAATTTTTATCCTCCGTTAACTCCAAATTTTATCCTCCCTTAACTCAAGCTTCGAGCCCATTTATCGATCATCCGGAGGTACTTGTATGTCTTACCGACCTTGCTTTGATTCATTCATTCGCATCCCACATATCTCTCACCGTCACCCATCCGTTGTTGAGTGAATTGATGGACGTCATAGGTACTGAAGACCACCCTTCGTTTTTTGAGCAATATTTGTTAGGGGAGCAAGAAGAGAAATTGAAAATTTGAAAGTGGGAATCGAGCCACAGCTGATGTTGTTAAGACTTTCTTGATTAGAGCAGCCCAGTCATCCCACCTGCTACTGCTGAAGAGAGTAGTGGTCTCTGGCGATGCTGTAAGCAGCGATGGGTATGAATTTGGGTCGGGATGGAGGAAGTGGGTATGGGATCGGGAGAGAGATGTGGCCCTTTCCTGGAGTTACGGAAGGCGAAGCGGCAACCATGATGGGCGGTGGTACTTGGGCAGCGGCTCGGCGCGGAGAGACTAGTGGCCTTTCATTCGGGTTTCTGGATCTTGCAATTTCTACCTGGGAAATGTTATGAAATAAACATGAAATGTTCGTAGGTCAATCGGTCGGGTCTTCTTATCATCATCCGATCAACAATTAATCTTTCTTCATAGGTTATTAGCAATGGTTCAAACTTGATATGTTAAATTAGGTCTTAAACCTGATGAAGTGGCCCCAGAGATTAAGATTTAAGCTTGAGATGGCCCCTGCAGATTTCGGTTCCCAATTCAACTACAAACCAAAGCAGACATTGCTTTACCCGATTAATATCATAGGTGCATTGCTACAAAGGGTGACAGTGCACTTGAGTGTGACAAGTTCTCAAAGTATTACTGCTCCCTTTCCCCCGGCGAATGGGAGAACGACATCTTTCCAGGTCCGCCGTGAGTGTCTTTCGGTCACTATCTTCACATTTGGTTCCATTACATTTAATGGAATCACTGAAATTTGTTAATGACAGTAACTTTGACTTGTTTACCTCACTAGCTCAAGTCAAAATGAGTTTACTTCACCGATGCCTCATAATTAAATCCAATCTAGCATGCCATTCCTTCTTTTTACACAAAACTCACGCCACTTAATTTATACTCGTACATATTAAGGTAATAGATGATACAGAGTTAGTAAGATATGTAAGTATTGATCTTGGGGTAGGATGGCCTGAAAGGATTTAAGCATTATAGGATTTTTGGTGGTCTTTGTATTACTATATTAATGTTATCAGTATTAGTGTAGTAGTACTGAACCCCAATTCACTTCATTATTTCTTCATAATGGCCTGAAGGCAGTATGTTCATTATTAGCTTCACTTTGGATTGGGGACTCTTCATTATAGTGTTTTTTGTACTGATTTCTATGCTGAGATATGCTGATTTATATGCTGCAATATATGAGCATGCTGGTTTATATGGTGAAAGGCTATTATACTTCGTATATGTTGACTCATTTGTTGAAAGTGTTTTGAATTATTTATATGCTGATTTATATAAGGGGTTATGAAGAGATGCTTCAAGGTCCAGTGGTGATCTTTTTTTTAGCTCTTTCCATAATGTATGAATATCATTCACCTACAGTGGCCATTGAAAGAGAAGATGAAAACCACCTGATTACTCTAAATTACTAGCACCATGACCTCAATCATAAATTGATAACATCAATCATCATATAGACCAAATCTTATTACTCCAAATTGTGCAACTTAACTAAACATGGAGTTCCAAATGCTAACCAAAAAGCACCTAGGGCTAGGGATACTAGTCTAAATGTTTGTGGAGCATTAGGAGGTCCTGGTCTTGGAGATTCACTCTTTCTTGGGCTCAATTCGAATGGAGTTGGATTTCCAGATCTTGAAAAAGTAAGCAACATTTGAATCAAAACCCAACATGATTTAACGGATAATCTAGAGGGTTGACACGACAGAGACCAAATCACACTAAATGATACACTACAACTGACTTTGATGGAATAGCAATACTTCCACATAATAATTGAAATGAAAATTAATATATTTGATCTGACAATTTGTGAAAAATATAGGGTATTTCATACACTATTTTAAAGAATATCATAACAATCTCGCATAAAATAGCTATTTATAAAAAAGAACATCATTTTAAAATTGGGCAAAAGCTATCGCGCCTTGCGCGAAGGATCGCTAGTTCTTAAATATGAGTAATTATTATCATGTTTGAGAAATAGTGTCAGTAATAACATTAAGACTTTCATATTCAAGTTTGACAACGTTAAACATGAATGTAAAATTTCAGGATGACAATATAATCAACCAGTCTAATATAATTACAACATGTTTTGTACGTCATTTTATTTTATTCTCATATTCGTAGAAACCTTGAATATAAATGGAAATAAATAGAGTTTGTTACCTATATATTACCAATTGTATGTAAGTTTAGACTCCCTCTTCACTAACTACAATAGGTACAACAATTTTTTAGTAATTAAAGCAGTTAGTGCACTCTCTTTAGTAACCGGTGGTCATATATTTGTTAATAAGGTTTAAAGTAGTAATATATTTGTAATTTTTTCAAATAAATAGGATGTGGAGAGCAACTAAAAATTAATTTGAAAGCAACAACATAAAAATAATACTCTGGCCGTATTAAATAAAATAATATAACACCATTACTAATTAACAATATAAATATATTGAAAATAACAAAAATAAAACAATGACTCATCTTTTTGAAAATAATAATAATATATTGAAAGTAACAAAAGTAAAATAATAATGATACATTGAAAATAACAAAAGTAAACAAAATACGTATATACTAAGAAAAAGTAAGGGATTTTTACCAAAATATTACTATGTATTAAAATAAAACTTATTTACACAAATATGACTATTAGTTATTAGAATGTAATATCATAATCAAGAAGATTTGCCAAGCTAAATGTATAGTTGCCAAGCTACGCAAATTAAAATAATGAAGATTTACACGGTACTATACATTTCAACTTTTCAAGTAGGGTCAAAGAGTTAAGGCATTTTTTTTAGTTCTATGCTTTTAGAAAAGACATTTGAAGACATTTGTCACAAATACATTGACATTTTTTTAATGAAAAACAAAAACAAATTCCATTAACAAATACTCCCTCCGCTCCCTAAGTTTTTCCCGTTTTACCTTTTTCATCCGTCCCACTAAGTTTGTCTCATATCATATTTGGTAATATTTGAGGGGTTAGAATTCATTCTTACTTAATTAACACTTTATCAATTCAATACCAACAACACAATTCTACTTTTTCTTAAAAACCACACCACACTCCTTTGTTCCAAACTTAGGGGATGGAGGTAGTACGTAATAGTTGTTACACAAGTATCCGTATTCCATAAACCAAGAAAAGAAGATAAAAAACAATCTTCCATTATGTGTTCCATGAAAAAGTTAGCAAAGTCAGATCAAGCTTTAAGCTAACTTTGCGTATAGAACATAGTTTAAAGTATATACAACAATACAAAAAGACTAATAACAACTCAGAAACTTGTACGAGGGTAATAGATGCGTACTGATTCGAATTATAATTGGAGAAGCAAAAGAAATTCTTGAGTGCTGCTTAAAGAGTTTCATTTTACAAATCAAATTAATAATTGAAGACAAAAGAATCCACTATTCATCGAAGAATCTACTATTCATAGAAGAATCATATTGAGGCTAATCTCTGAAGTAATGGATGCAAACCAAATCAGATAAGATGTTTATAACCAAATGAAACAAAAAATGTAGTGAACGAACCCTAGATTGAGGCGGAATTGGATCAGATGAAACAGAAAATGTATTTCTCGAAACCTGGATTGAGATGGAAATTCAATCGGAAGTATTGAGCAAAGGTATTAAAAGTTGATAATTTAAGGTCATCTCCAACAGTTTACACCATTTTTACACTAAAATGGTGTAAACATCACATCATAAAGTATTTTATCTCCAACAATTTACACCATTTTCATCACCAAAAAGGGATATTCTCTTTTTATTCTTTTTACTAACTTTTTACCATTCTTATATTTAAGTATCTAATTATCATATACTTCGTATTTAACATTAGCCCCTCATTTAATATTTTGACATTTCATACATTATTTCACACATACAAACTAAAATACACCATTTTAATATGTATTTTCACGCATTTCACTAAAAATACAATAATCAATATTTCACAAATACAAGCTAAACCACATAAAATTAAATATTACAATAATCAACATTTCACAAATTTGTTGTTCTATAAGGATGTTTTTACTTGGACGGTAATTTGTTTCAAATCAGATCAGACCGGATTAGACTAGACTTGAGTAGTTATAAAAATACAAAAAAATCAGACTAGACCACATCAGTTCAGACCAGACCAGACCAAATCAGACCAGACCAGAGCAGACCAACAAATTTCAGTCCAAGTAAAAATATCCTAATTTGTTGTTTTAGAAAGGGAAAAGGTGCAAATAGGCTCATGTACTAACCAAAAAAGGTCAAATAAGTCCTTATTTAGGAGGCTCTGTCTGGCCGTCGTCATTTGGGGTGGTTCCCGGTTGAATTTTTTGATGAATTTTTTTGAGCATCTTATTCATCAAGTCTAGTTTACTCATACCAAATTTCAGCTAAAACTTCAATCGGGAAGGCATTCAAATGAATTCTTGAAGATAATTGTGCTTCTAACTGCGCATTTATTTTCAACAATTCATTTGAATGCCTTTCCGATTGAAGTTTTAGCTGAAATTTGATATGAGTAAACTAGACTAATGAATAAGATGTTCAAAAAATTTCATCAAAAAATTCCACCAGGAACCACTTCAAATGACGACGTCCAGACAGAGTCTCCTAGATAAGGGCTTATTTGACCCTTTTTTGTTAGTACATGGACCTATTTGCACCTTTTCCCTTTTAGAAATGGGTCAAAACTATAACAATCAAAACTTTGGGTCACATTTGAAATAAAAAAAATTAAAAAAAGAAGATGGTGTTGCGTATGGCGTACGCCATATATGGCGTGAAGCCAAAACCTCTCCCCCAAAATGGTGAAATGATGTAAGAGATGGTGTGACTATTGGAGCATTTTTTGGCAAATCCACAATTTTGGTCTAAGATTTGGTGCTTGGTGGAGTTGCTCTAAGAAAGAAAAAAAAAAAAGCGGAATCAGTTTACCTCATGAGCCTGAAACGTGCGGCATTTAATTAGAGATGGAAGATGATACGTAGTAGAAGATAATGAGATTGTAGCTATCTGAAGGAGAATTAGAGGGTGTATGCGGAACAACATAAACGGTGACAGATTGAGCGGTTCTACGTATTTTAGAAGGACGGTTGAAAGAGGGAAGAGCCGCTGCCCCTGGTGATTCCGGCGACTCGATCATTCCTGCCTGTTGAACTGGATGTGAAGAGGTACGGAGGTGGCTGCTTGTGGTGTTTGCAGTTCGCGGGTGATGCTACAACCTACAGATGAGAAGGCGGACGGATGTGAACGATCGGTGAGGATGGAAAGAAATTGAGAAAAGGAAAAAGAAAGATGATTTTTTAAGGTGAACGGTTCGGATTCTTCCAAAAAAAAAAGGTGAACGGTTCGGATCATTTCTATATATAAATAAAGGGTGAAGATTGATTTGTATCGCTATTAACTTATTAATTAAGTATAAGGATTAAGTATAAGGATTTATTACTTTGTTTTCGTTGATTAAATTAGAATTGTTAGTTAAATATCTTATATTGTTTTGATATTATTGTTGTGGTGGTGGTTATTATTGTTATTATATTATTATTATTAGCATTATTATTATTGTTACTACTACTACTAATATTATTTTTTTTTGTTTTTTTAATAACGGTTCCTTAACGGTTCTATGCACATATTTTTTTATAGGAACGACGAACCGAACCGTTATAACCCGCTTCGGTTCGGTTCCTACAAATGAGATATTAATTGTTAACGGTTCGGTTCCTAGATGTTGTTAACGATTCGGTTCCAATTGGTTCTACGGTTCCCGGTTCCAAAATCCCACCCCTAACCAACGAGATAATAAATTTAGAAAAATATGATGTCATTACTTGATCTTTATGTCACTAACTGTCCCCCCCCCCCCCCCCCCCCCGAATTTATTTTTTCTTTCATTGTTTTCGTTTTCAAGTCACGTTTGATCCCCCGAAATTTCATTTTCTTTTTTCTCATGTGTTTCGAGGAGGTGTGCCTTCTCTAAAAAGATTTTGGTTTTGTCCCCCTCTCTTTCTTGTATTTTCTTCTGGTTTTTAATAAAATGTGGTAAACGTTCTTCGAAATTTACCCTATCGGTTGGTGGTTGATCTTTCGAGTTAAAAAAAAAAGAAGATCGGGAAGAAAAAATTCGACGACTTAGTGAAAATTCCAAAAAATGAAAAACCAAGGTGAAAACAAATTGTTAGCCATAGTTTCAAAAATAGTTATTGTTTGAAATGGAACTACAAGTTAATCAATGCGATCACATTTTTGTATTTCACAAAGCTATACCTAATATTTTTCTGTGTCCTTTTTCCTTTTTGTTTTGATGATCCAGATGTCGATGCTTGCGGGCTTGCAATCCCTTAATCCTGGAGACTATGAACTACCCCCCAAAGCCCCTAGACAGTTAAATCCGAATCTGATCACAGTTAGCCTCGTCGGTACTGGTTCCACGGGACGAATCCAGCAGAATTTCTGATCACCTCGGAATCCAAGGGGGCCACCTACCACATGAACTTGATGACTGCATTACCGTCTCCTCCCTTATTAGCCGCTGAGCAACTTCATGAAGGTAGGAAGAATAATTGGGGCAAGACCTCCCTCATATTCCCTTGGTGCATAACGGGTTTTGAACATGAGACCTCACATATGCACCGATAACCTCAAAGCCCGCTAGGCTAGGATGATTGGTTTCCTTTTTTCCCTAAATATATCCGGAATAAAAACTGCAATACGTAACCTTGAAAATGAGTCTTATCCTTTCTGTCCCATTTCCAAACCATCAATCTCTATATAAATTAATTATGACAAAAAATGATGTATAAGACAACAAAAGAAGATAATTTTGATTCTAATAACTAGCGAGTACTCGAGTAGCCACTACCGATTGTTGAGTTAGGATGTTTTTTTGGATTGTTTTCGGTCCTAGACCAGATCAGACCAGACCATATCAGACCAGACCAGACCAGCAAATTTCAGTTCAAAAGAAAACATCCTTATTTGTTATGCACTTATGCCTTACTTTTTCTTTTTTGAAAGAAATCGCATTATAACAAGTTATTTCAAAATAATACATACTACGTAGTACTTAAGAGTGTTGATAAATCTTATAAAAAATCATATAAATTTTAAAAATTATATAATAATAATATAAAAAATAGCATAAAAATAAAACAGATAAATAATTTTAAAAAACATAAAACTCAAAAAATAAATGAAACTCTATAAAATATAAAATATAAAATGTAAAAACCTTTTTAAATTGATGTGGAATATACAAATAATTTCAAAATTTTAAAAATACTGACTTTGAAATTCTGAAAAATTCCACAATTTTTGATTTTTTCAATATAAAAAACTCTGCTATTACAGGTCTAGACTGAATCAATGACTAAATTGAACAACTTTTTAGAATAAGTGTACTGTTGGAATATTAGGCCCCGATCAAAGAGGTAGGCCCAAATATCACTGATGGAGTGTATAGCCCAGGACCCCCGACCCACATACTCCCGCTACAGCAAAACAAACCCAACAAGCACATGCAACCCACATACAACAACCCAAGTATAAGACAACCATCACCCATAAGGAGCCCCTTCGGCCCCATCGCCCTGAATCCAGTCATCGACATGTCGGGAACTTTCATCTTCTCGACCAAGCCCTCGGACAGCAGCCCTCGGCGCTAAGGCCGAATGCCTCAGAATGCTCACAGACAACCCTCTTTGTCCAACGCTCCTCAACGCCCAATCATCGCATTTAATGTTGCGTCACGTGCCAGCATCCACATCACAGGGGGGCTCCCCGCCATAGATTAACTTACATGTCTATGTGCATTTAATGCACCTATCATTTATGACTAGTATAAATAGCGTCTCTTGAACAGTTGTACAAACCACTGTTCATTTAATACTATTGCTCCCCCCCTCTTACTTATTGTTTTACCTTCCCCCTAGATACCACTAGCGGTATCCATATATAGACTATCTATCACCTATTATATACATATCTATCTAAAAGAAGCCATCATTAAAATACTCAAGACAAAATTATCGTTTTGAATCATAATTATCCCATATTCATGCTACTTTGACTTCTAATAATTGTTGATATTTCGATAAACTCTTATCATTGTAGATGTAATCTATAAGTCCTACATAAGAGAGGTTAGGGTTTGTGCTTTGAGCAGTTTTGGAGGAGTTGACGATATATAATTTTTTTTAAATAAATAAAATCAACAATAAAATATTGACCAATCAATATTGCTTCTAAAAGACGAACATTTTTAAATAATTATGAACAAATAAGACCGGTCATAAGTTTATCTTGAGTATTGAAAGGATGACTTCTTTTAGATAAATATAAATATGATAGATTAATTTGGTCAATAAATCCAAACACTGATTTGTTTTGTGTTACGAGTATAAGCTATTTTATTTGGGATAAGGGTCAGATAGGGCCTCGAACTCGAAAAAAAATGTCAAATAAGGTCATATTTCGGATGCTCTGTCTGGCCGACGCCATTTGGGGCGGTTCCCGATGGAATTTTTTGATGAAATTTTTTGAGCATCTTCCTCATTAAGTCTAGTTTACCCATACCAAATGTCAGCTAAAAACTCAACCGGGAAGGTAGTCAAATGAATTTTTGAAGATAACTGTGAAGTTAAACAACGCCGTACATTTCAGAAAATTATTTGACTACCTTCCCGGTTGAATTTTTAGCTGAAATTTGGTATGGGTAAACTAGACTTAATGAGGAAGATGCTCAAAAAATTTCATCAAAAAATTCCATCGGGAACCGCCCCAAATGGCGTCGGCCAGACAGAGCATCCGAAATATGACCTTATTTGACATTTTTTTTCGAGTTCGAGGCCCTATCTGCCCCTTATCCCTATTTTTAAAGGATTCGGGGCCGCTTTAAAGCAAGATAGGGTGCTCTGCTCTTCCGCACCCTTTGATCCGAAATTCGACGTCAAAGATTCCAGCTTCCCCTATCTCCAAATCGTTCTCGTCCCCTCCCTATTGTCGAATGCAGCAAGGCAGAGGATCCGAATCCATTTTTAACAACTCAAATGTTGTTTTGGTTCCTCTCTAGTTATACACAAGCAGCTAACAAATCAATATCAGCACGTTCTACCCTCCTACAAAAGTAGGGAAACTTTCTACTGCTCAAGTGGTAGGTTCCTCTCTAGTTATACACAAGCAAGCAGCTAACAAATCAATATCAGCACGTTCTACCCTCCTACAAAAGTAGGGAAACTTTCTACTGCTCAAGTGGTATTGATCCATCTTTCTTAATTTCCCTCTAATTCAACATACTATCACAACTGATGAAGCTTTAAGATATCAGTTTGGGTTGAATTCATGTGGGCATAATGCTAGCTCTTGGTGTTTGGCCTCTGAAAATTGATTCTTCGAAGGTATATCATTCGGATTTGGAACAGGGTTTATCCCCAAATTCAATTTCCAGAAGGGGGTTTGTCGAAAGACTAGACCTTGCTCCCACTAGTGTATTGTTTGTATCAAGAATTTCTGAGTCTCGGTTCAATTTTCTTAGATTTTACGGCCCACAAAAACATTGTATTGGCTCATTTTCAGCATTACCCTTACTGTCCGAGGAACAAGCAACCATCTGTACCACTTCTGAACAAGATCAACTGTCACGGAGCCGGGTTACCACGTCAACTCAGGCTGAGGCAGGAATTATTAAGGGTAAGAGAACAAGAGTGAGGGTTGATGTTAAAGAACTTGCACAGAGATTGCACACAGCCAAGAATGCAGACGATGTTGAAGATATTCTAAAGAACAATGATGAACTTCCCCTCCAAGTGTACTCAACTTTAATTAAGGGTCTTAGTAGAAACAATAGGCTAGATTCTGCAGTCTCACTTGTTGAGTGGTTAAGAAGAAGAAGAAAGAAAGACACTTCTTCTACTGTTCTTCCGAATCTTTTCATCTACAACAGTCTCTTAGGAGCAGCAAAAGAGGCTGAAAAGTATGACGTGGTTGACAAAGTAATAGAGGACATGTCCTCAGCTGCAATTAATCCCAATATTGTGACATATAACATTCTAATGAGTTCATATATACAGAAAGGTCAAGAACTCGAAGCTCTCAATCTTTTCTATGAGATACCGAACAAGGGTTTATCTCCAAGCCCTGTTTCCTATTCCACGGCCTTATTTGCTCACCGAAGACTCCAAGACGCGTTTGGGGCCGTGAAATTGTTCACAGAACTGAGAGACAAGTATCATGCCAAGGATGAGTTTCCCAAGCTTGAGAATTTCACCACCCGAATATGTTACCAGGTGATGAGACAGTGGATGTCAAAGAGGGAAAAATCAAGCACAGATATATTGAGACTAATGATAGAAATGGATAAGGTGGGGCTTCAGCTTGGGTGTGTAGAATCTGAGCGCCTCATCTGGGCATGTACGCGTGAAGAACATTACTCAATTGTTAAAGAGCTCTACCAAAGGATAAGAGAGAGAGACTCCGGAAATATTAGCTTAACTGTTTGCAACCACGTGATCTGGCTAATGGGGAAAGCCAAAAAATGGTGGGCAGCTCTTGAAGTATATGAAGACTTACTGCTTAAAGGGCCAAAACCAAACCAGTCCTCTGATGAGCTTATAGTGTCACATTTTGATGTTCTTCTCAGTGCAGCCAGGAAAAGAGGAATATGGAAATGGAGCATTAGGTTACTCAATAAGATGGAAGAGAAAGGGATCAAACCGCGAAGTAAGGAATGGAATAATGTCCTTGTGTCATGTTCAAAGGCTTCGGAAACATCAGCCGCCATAGAAATATTCAAGAGAATGGTGGGAAACGGTGAAACCCCGACTATCGTATCCTACGGGGCCTTACTAAGTGCCCTAGAGAAAGGGAGGCTTTATGATGAGGCGGATCGGGTATGGAAACACATGGCAACAGTAGGTGTAAAAGCAAATTTGTACACCTACACAACCATGGCTGCGATCTACAGCGCCCAGAGTAAATCCAATGCGGTAAACTCCATCATCCGGGAAATGGTGACACTCGGGATTGATCCAACAGTAGTCACATTCAATGCTGTTATCAGTGCTTGTATACGGAATGGTATGGGGAGTGCAGGGTATGAATGGTTTCAAGAAATGAAAGCTGCAAACATAAGCCCTAATGAGGTGACCTATGAAATGCTGGTTGTGGGGCTTGCTAGTGATGGTAAGCCGAGGATGGCCTTTGAGCTGTATGTTAGGGCTCTCCGCGAGGGTATGGTTCTTTCAGCGAAGGCTTATGATGCTGTCATCCGTTCTTCATTGCTACATGGACTTACTATTGATGTTACCACTCTTGGGCTCCGGCCAGTGGAAAAACATAGAAATGTGCAAAGTAGAAACTCTTTGATGGAGAAGATAAAATGAGGATGAAGATGTTTAGGGGGAAGGGAATGGGAGGCTGCAATGGAAAATGGGAGAGGAAGAGGAGAAAAGGTTGGATTGCCATGAGAAAGGGAGAGGAGATGAGCTATTTATACCGGGATACACAAGGTGCAAGCCCTTGTGCACACATATCTTTTTTCTTTTGTCAACCTGATGGTTAGTACACTAAATTTTGATGTGCTATGTCCTAATGAATTCTTATTTAGACGTTAATAAATACTACCTCCGTCCCATTGGAAGGTTTCCATAGCAAAACGGCACAATTATTTAGACAATAATTAAATAAAGTACTTCGAGTATATTTTGAGAAATAATTTTAATGGGTATATACTAAGTATTATAATGTAGTTAGTATTGATAACTATGATGTTATGAATGTATTATTTTTAATATTTAATGATTAATTTGTCACTTAAGGTTTTTAATTGTTTCCTAAAATGAATATGAGAACCTTTATATGAGACGTCCAAAAAAGGAAAGTGGGAACCTTCTAATAGGACGGAGGGAGTAGTATTCTACTAACATATCTTTAGAAAGTGCATGTGTACGCGAATCTATTACTCATCCAACTATCCAAGCATCAATAAGTGAGTTGAAACACTACAAGAACAAGACATACGCTTTGAATTATGCATAAAACTATTGTAGTAGTATTATATATTCGAGCATACTCCAATTATGCATAAAAATATTATTTGGAAAATTAAATTTTATCGTGAGTGTTTATTACATTTAAGCAAAAATTAATTGATCATTCTTACTCAAAATAGTCCAAAAATGGATTCATTTAGCAAATTGTTTTTGGTGTTAGTGATAACAATCTAAAACAATGTTAATATAATTGTTGAAACATTTGAGAAATGGTCGAGGGAATCCAAGACTCTCTTTCATTTCCTACTGCATATTGCAGCAGGAAATCTTACTGTTTCTTATCGCAGAAGGAAATCTTACTGTTAAAAAATGTTAAATGGTTACTGTTTTTTATGTGAGCCCATATTGCAGAAGTGGAAGAAAGAATGTGGTTAGCTTATATTTTCAAAAAGTTGTCTCTGTTTTCTACCACATAAACATGGTCTACATTTTTTGTTTTGATTTAGTTAATAATGGTATTTATATTATCAGTTATTTTGTGTAAAACAGTACATTTACAACAAAAGATACCTGGATAGGCTGCCTAGGCAGTAGATTACATTCTACTAACCTTACTAATGCCAAACAGATCCTCCAATTTGTTGAATACTTTTTCTACCTACTTTTACTCGAATACTTTCCATTTTATTGCCTCTGAATTGTGGTCACATTGTTCATTTCCACACTCCAAACATTATATTTTTTCTAATTAACCCTTTCTGTGTCTTGGTTTTGAAAATAAGTTGACACAGATTGTCCCTAAAAAATGAACTATATTTTTGTTTCGAGACTACAATTTTGGATTCCAATTACCAACCACTTTTAACTTGAAGCCAATAAAATATTACTTTCCTTTAATGTATTCTAAGATTTTACTTAGTCCAAGCGAGTCTTGTCCAACTTGATAAGTTATATTTTATCTAAATAATGTATGCAGAGCTCTAAATACTTTTAGTATACAGTTTTCATCATTTGTATTGCCTTGTTTTTCTCTTTTTCTTGAATTTTCGCTCAGTGTGGGCATATATAACAAAAAATTTCAACCGATTTATTTATTTCACTTACTTTTTCAGTTGCTCGTTGTATACATGCTCTGTGTTCTCTAATGTCCTCTAAAATTGAAAATTCAGATTTAATACTTTGTAATTATTTACTCTTTTTTAGTTATAGATAGGCGAGATTCCGCTTTACAATTACACACAGTAATATTTATTTAGTAATCAACAACCACCACCCCCTTCGATGCTAACAGATAAGGTTTTAACAAGTCGTATTGCGCTTTCGCTCTTCTCTTCATCGGTCATGGTCACAGATTTCCACTCTCAAGTAATGGTCTGCATATACTAACCCAAAAATTTTAAAAAATACAGATGTAGAGGTTGACATTGGGTATGTCGTATTACTGTTGTAGCATAAATGGAAATGCACATCGGTATTCGGTACCCTGCTAATTCCATTTCCAGGGTTAAACAGTAAAGCTGCCTTAAATTAAAGGTATTTCTGTGCATTTAGGGTACCAGATTCACCATTTCAGGCTTCATTTTGTTTGTGTAGTGTCCTTACAAATACAAGTTGACTATAATATAGTGACATATATACCATTCGATATGTTGTACCTATATGATGTTAGTAGAATTTTTAAGAACTGTTTATAAAGTTTTATATAGGGATAGAGAAGAACAAGTTTATTAATAAAATGGTGGTACCGATCCAGCTTTGGTCTTCTTTGCATGAAATACGGAGTCATATAATTTCTACAGTCTTTTAGATTCCTCTTCGAACCTAGCTCTAGATTTTCTACAATCCTTGACGTTAATTTAGAGTAGTTGTTTTCCTAGAAGAAAATGTAAGATCATATTTCCGGTTTTCAATTTTTCCCTTAAGTAATACTCCGTAGAAAACTAGAAAGCAAAAAGTGATAATGAGCCCATAGTTTCTCATTTTCTTCAGTTTCGTGTCATGTTTTTTCTAAACCATTACCATTTTAGTGTCACATGTCACCCTGACAGATTAAAAGAAAGCACTTCCTATTTCTTTTCTGCAGGTTAGCTTGAGGGGACCTCGTCATCTTGGTCCTGATGATGAACTAATGGAGATAATGGGGTCTCCTGTGAGTATCTTATTGTATTTTTATTCTCTATTTACCCCATATATTTATTTTCACTTAGTAGAAAATCACTTTATTGGATTTGGGCTCTTGGATTTGGGCTCAAGGATGCGTTTAATAATATGTTGCTAACCTAATATAATGGTCTAACAGGTTAAAACTAAAAATACTTGTCTTTTTTACTTTGCTTTTTATATCAGATAAAATCATACTAAAATATTTTTAATATTGCCTAACTGATTCATACATGTAGCTCACTCAGATCTCTATTTACCAATATATCTGTTTGGATATTTTTACCCAGTGAACTCCAAACAAGAAAACTTAGGAAAATATGTACTTCGTATTAAAGAAGAGAAGAAGGGTGGGTTGAGTGGAATAGAACGAGAAGGAAAATTGTACGAAGATATACTCATGTACTGAGGTTAAGGAAGAGATACACATCATTGGGCAGAGTAGGATACTGAAAAAGCTTTTGACATATTCCCGTTTTATTATATCATTGTACAATTAGCCTAATGATGCAAAATGAAGGGGTTTCAACTATTATCTAACAGGATTAGCATGGTACCCGCTGACCACACTTTATATAAGGCATTTGTCCCTCTCCTTTGTAATCTTACATGCTTTTTTGTAATCTCTAATAATCTGTGTTGTTGATGTTGAACATTTATAAAGTTGCAGTTGGTGGAGTTGGGCAGCTACACTATATTTGGACATATTGCGATTGGTTCTAGGCTTCTAGCATTGCTCCAACTGTGTTTCAGTTTATCTATTGCAAAGCATTGCATGGGTAACTTCCATTTAAGATGGCAGTGGAGTTCGCAGGTGACTGTGTGAGTTTGGCGTTCAATGAGGAGAAGCTTACCTATGTCGTTTATGTCGTCTGTGGCCAGCTTGTATTTCTAGAACTATAGAAGCTTGGCTTTAAAAGATATGGAAGTGTTTGTCTACGTATTATATGGTATGTCATGTGAAAAGGTACTTGTTAAATATTACTCGTAAATCGCATTTGTGCAAAACTGTTACTAAAACCGATAATTGTGTTGTGCCTATATGAAGTGTACTTCAATTCTACAAATAAATTCATAAACCTTGTAAAAAGAAAGACGCTTGCTTAGACTTATTACTCAAACTTATTAGCTTTGTTAACCCTAGATAGAAAAAACTTGAATCAATAGATAACAATGTCACAAAAGAAGCTAGGGTGGGGTGTGCTTGGTTACACATTCTTGAATAAAAAAAGTTAAGCTACCCTGGATCAAAGAGGATCCAACATAGTAACTTGGTTCATTTGAGTGTACATACTCTTATATATGACAACAATCTTACAAACAAACTTTAAAGACCGAGTATTCTCCTTTTTTCATTCAAACTTTAGAAGCAGTAACATTGGTTCTCCAAGGTATGATTTATATTGGTTTCATCCTTTTTTTTTAAAAAAAATTGTATCCCATTTTGCAGCCTTGCAGAGTTGCAGGTGAGGTCTTTCTATTTGAGAAATGCATGCGTTCAGAGTCTTCAGACATCTTTCTGTTTTTGTAAAAAATGTTTCAGTTATGCAATTGTGAATTTAGATTTGTAATACCGAGTACTAGTAGCCCAATTTCAGAAGTTGGAAATGAAATGTACCCACCTTTGGTGCACCTTATAACTGTTCTTATGCCTGGTGTTATTCAATAACCCTAAACTTGTATGGATGTGTCTTTCTTTGATTTGTATAGAGTACATCACTACATCCCATGCAAAAAAGAAGAAAAAACAAAAACATATACTACATATTAGTTTTCGATCAAGTTCTTTCCATGGCATCCAAGATTAGTTTTTGTTGATATATGCAACTATGCGAGCTTAGTCACAAAGGCCGGTCCTATATTTTTCAAGGATTAGAGGAAATGTGCTAATATTGAGTGGAAAAAAGCACCGATCTAAGAAAGCGGAGCAACTCCTTCCGATCTCCCTAGCGGTTCTGCCGTGCAGGGTTTTTTCTCCCTAGCGGCTCTGCTGCGTAGGGTTTTTCCTCCCTAGCAGCTCTGCCGTCGCGTATGGTTTTCTTTCCACCAACCGTTTTCAATCTTGAAGGAGGAGTGAGTGCATCATCAGCTTTTGGAAATGAATTCAAGATCCAATAAAGGATAATTATGAGCCATGTGGGTGATCTAGAGTAGCGTTGGTTCAGGCCTGCAATCGAGGAGGAAGTTAGAGTGTTAGTTTTTGGCAAATCAGCATGGGTAGAGGGCGGTGTTGGTAGTGGAGGTGGCTCGGGCGACGAGAAGATGTGGAGAGGTGAAGGGCTGAGCAAGGGAGAAGATAGATCGGCGGTCCACCCCCCTCCTGAACCGCCGCCTTGGAGCGATCAAGTTGTTAGAGTTTGAAAGTTTTATTAGTTATTTAATTTTTCATGATTTTATTTTTGTGTTATGTTTTACGTTGCTCTGTCTTTTGTTGATGTCTTTAGTTTTAGGTCTACAATAATGATTGACAATTCTGCTAGATATTATTTCCATGGAAGGATCTTTATGGCCAGTGATTGTGTTGTGTCACAACCGTTTGGTGGTTAGCGATTTGTATTGCTCTTTTAGGGGTGACCGTCTCTGAGTCTAGTCGTAGGGTTGATAGTGCTAGTTGGTTAGGGATAATTGTTGTCAGTGTTAGTCTTGTTGAATTCGTTGTAACGATCTGAATCCTTATGATATATTAATATAAAGCGGTTTGTTTTGATGATAAAAACGGATTAGAGGATATTTTTCATAGGTTTATTCTAAAACTATTAATTACTTATCTAAATAAATTAGTAGAATTTTAACAAAAAATAAAAATCAATTAGTAGAATATATAGTCATAATAAAAAAAAAATACTTTCTAGTGAGATTATCAGTTGCCTATTTAAATAAGTAGAGTAATAGATTATACAATAAAGGGAAAAATAATAAAAATACTCCAAACTTTGAATGGGTGTGAGGTAAACACCCCAAATTTGCATATTTAATTTAAATACCTCAAACTTTATATAAAAGTCATTTTTGCACCATCATCGTGTATTATTTCTTTCAAAAATGTAAATTTATGGGATTAATTGCACAATTTAAAATAAAAAATTAAAAGTATCGTAATTATATAGATTGGGGTAACATTATTTATTTTGCAATGAAATATTAGAATGTTGATTGTGTATTCATGAATTCTAAAATATTTTAAATCATACATTTAACAACATAAATTTACATTTTTGAAAAAAATAATAATTGACTACCATGCTAAAATAACTTTTTATACAAAATTTGAGGTATTTAAATTACATATGCAAGTTTGGGGTGCTCATCTCACACCCCTTCAAACTTTAGGATATTTTAATTATTTTTCTCTACAATAAAAGTAAAAAAAATTGAAACACACCTCCGGTAGCACATTATAAATAAAATAATCATTATATCAAACACCTTGATAATAATTAAAATTTGAAGCTGCTGAAATGAATATAAATAGCATAAGAACAACATTGTGATTTGTGACATATCAATAAAGACACACACAACCACACATAAAAAAATCGATAAATCTATGCACAATAACACAATAAATCTTAATTGGTATGAAAAAATTACTCCCTCTATCCTATTTTATAATATAAAATTCCCTTTTTAGATTGTTCAAAATATATGAAGCCGAGAGGCTGATCGTGCTGCATAATATGACGGTCGCCGTCCTGGAACGGAACAGGTGAGCTCGGCCATGAACTAGACACGACGGCGTTGAGGGGCCGATCGTGTTGCATAATATTAAAGTCGCCATCCTAGAAGGGAATAGGTGAGCCCGACCGTGAGCTAGACACAACGACGTTGAGCGGCCGATTGTGCTGCATAATATAGCGGTCGCCGTCGTGAAAAGAATATAGGCGATACGTGAATTAGACACGATGGCACTGAGGGGCGGATCTTGCTGCATAATATGGCGGTCGTTGTACTGAAAAGGAATTAGGCAATTTAGGCGAGCCGAACGTGCTGTATAAGGCGGCGGTCGCCATCCTGGAAAGAAATGGGCGAGCCCGGTCATGACCATCTTTCCATCACCTTCGAAACCTCTATCGAGATGAAAATCAATTCCTTGCATCCAAATCGGTGTAGACCAATCGAGACATGGAAGATTTTTTTTTGACCTCCAGACTTTCTTACTAATTGTGTTCGCGCAGCCCAAAGGGCTTGGGCTACTCACCCATGGTAATTTCGTCGAGGTGGGATCCATTCCCGATCTCCAGACCAGTTTATGCCGGTCGAGATAGAGAAGAATTTTCCAAACCTCCAGACTTCCTTACCACTCGTGTTCGCGCGACCCAAACGGCTCAGGCTACTCACCCATGGTAATTCCTTCAAGGCAGGATCCATTTGCGATCTTTAGACCGGTTTATGTCGGTCGAGAAAAGGAAGAGTTTTCCGACCTCCAGACTTCCTTACCATTCGTGTTCGCGCGGCCCAAAAGGCTCGGGCTACTCACCCATGGTAATTTCGTCGAGGCAGGATCCATTCCCAATCTACATACCGGTTTATGCTGGTCGAGACAGGGAAGAGTTTTTCCCGACCTCCACACATCCTTACCATTCGTGTTCGCGTGGCCCAAAGGGCTCAAACTACTTACCCATGGTAATCCCGTCGAGGCAGGATTCATTCCCGATCTCGAGTCCGGTTTATACCGGTCGAGGTGGGGAAGCGTTTTTTCCGACCTCCACACTTCCTTACCATTCGTGCTCGCGTGGCTTAAAGGGCTCGGCTACTCACCCATGGTAATTCCGTCGAGGTGAAATCCATTCCTGATCTCAAACTGATTTTTCCCGATCGAGATCCTGAAAACGAATGGCGTGCTTAGCCGCGATTTTGGACACGACGGCGCGGAGGGGCTGATCGTGCTGCACAAGGCGGCGGTCTCCATCCCGGAAGGGAATGAGCGAGTCCAACCCTGAATTTGGGCGGTGCGAGTGCTTACAGATGGCCTCGGTTTACGGTGCAAGGGCTTATGGATGCCTTGGCTTATGGTGTATGTCCCACATGCCGAACAACGAGAACTGGGATGACACTAGGATTAGAGGAGAGGTCACATTGTGCCGAATATCGGGGAGCTTGAACGACATTTGGACAAGAGAGGAGCAGAGCCCCTACTGCCGAGCGATGTGCTAACGAAACGTGACCTAGCTAGATGTTTGAGCATCATACGACCCGTTAAACTTCTTTTTATGTGTTTTTGAGCACATACATGGTTATGATTTCGCTCATGAACGGCTCTGCGTTCATGCCGAGCATCATTTGGTCTTCTCGCTCGCGTGTGCTGAGCGACCTTGGGTGCAAAATATTGGTAACATGGCTTTATGACCAAACAATATTTTTTAAAACGATTGCGACTAACGACCTACGGGTAACAATAACCCTCGGTCTGGCTCATCATTTAGGTTTTTTGGACTGTAACTGTGCAAGGCAAGACCACCTATCAAGTAGGTTGCCTGAAGTTACGTGGAAAAAATATCTGGGTTGTGAGACTGAAAATTTGGCCTTTCACTACACGAGTTGCCCTCGGGATGAGGGTGAGCGCCTCCGTGCCTTGGGGCCGTGAGCGGCAAGGTCACATAGCACCTAGCGGGGGTAGACTGTACTAGGGTATGGCCGTCGATCGGTCACTTGGTACCATGCGAGACTGTGGTTGGCCCCAAGATTTAAACGCATCATGAGGGTCATGCCATTTGGAGACGCTTTAATAGCTAATTAAAGCCGATTGGCCTAGTGTTGAATAATTTGGTATGGAACAATTTTAATGTACAAACGGAAAATGAGAGATGGGTCAAATCTTAACGGAATGAAAGGAGTATTATATAACTAACTTCGTCCCACTTGATTTTGTCAAATTTCCTTTTTTGTGGATGTGTTCGTTTCTCTCTTCTCCGCACAAATCAACTTGGCAAAGTTGAGTGGGACAGAGTTAGTAACTTGGTATAAATAATACTGTGCCTACACTAAAAACCTCGTTTCTGGATATATGGGCTGTCATGAACAAGAAGACTGGGAAGATATCTAAAAGCAAAATTTTGATTTAAAAAGTAATTCCACTTTCCTATAGTTAAAGACTTAAAGTGTTATACTCTTGAACAAGATCATTTGAAAAACGATCATTCATATAAAGCAAACTCTTAAAAATTAAATTACAAAAGTTCAAGATAACAGGGAAGAAATCATCACAGTACATGAAACTAAAACAAGAGTGCTTGAGGCTGGTGACTCCTAATCAGTTTTGCGGGCATCCTTAAGCTGGCCTCTCTTCCTAACAGCGAGGCAAAACTTGAGGCGCCAAGCATCAACTGCCGACTCCGGCAACAAAGAGACCAGAGCCCATAGAAGAGAGTGGGGCCAGTAAGGGGTGCACCTTGGTTCATAACCAATCCAACCCAAGGCTGCCCGAGCATAACCATCCGTTGATGGAACAAAGAAGGATGATCTCTTTATTGATGCCATCTTGGTTGCTACATATAAGGGTACCTGCAATTGGAACCCCATTGTAATTACATTAAAAAGAATGAAGAAACACACAAGATCTAAATAAATGAACCAAAAGTAAGAAGAATTAAAAAGAAACACCCAATCATAACAATAAGTCAATAACAATAATGAGGATAATAGTAATAATAATAATAATGAAATAAGAGAAGTAAATACCTGGCATTGCACATCAATCCCACTTTTTTTGTACTCGACATAGAGACATCTTGAAAATTGATCAATGTATCTGAAATTAAACCAGGAACCAGAGGATTAAATATCTTATAGAAACCTGTTATGAATTGAATGAGAGCCAGCCAACTAATCCCAACTCCTAAATGGGCAACCTCCAACTAATTCAAGTTTGGAGGTGCACCACATCTCAGAAGAAAAATGATTATCTCAATGAACATGACTAAAAGCCCGTTTGCTAAGGGTTATTTGGCAGAAAAAGGCTGAATCAGTTACTTTTTCTACACAGAAAATCATCTGATAATATCTATTTTAGCCAAATAAGCAAGCCAAAAACTATTTATTTTGTTCATAAGCCAGGACTTGCTACCAAACAGGGACTAAATTCGTGTCTGAAATAAAGACCCATAATGCCACCCTAAAATGAGTAAAATTTTTCACGCTTAAAGAGTGCTCAAGGTTGCTTTAAAAACACATTTTGGTGCTTCATACTTTAACAGAGCCAAAAAAGTGTTTTCAAGTAGGTGCTTCTCCATTTCATAACAGGGACTTGGTGTTATGGAACCTAAGTAGTGCAAATCAGCATAACCTTAGTTTAATAACTTTAAACAACACAACTACTCAAGATGTGATCGGTAAGAGATTCTAAACTAGACTACATACAGTTTGGTAGCTAATTCTGAAGTGATTCAGTCAGCCATTTTTGCCAGGTAATTCTTACCAAACAAGCCCTTAAAACTATTCATGTACTTGAAGTAAAAGAATTTAAGAGTTGTATATGTGAGTGTGGTAGTAGCAGCTTACGCTTTGGTGGCGGCATAAACAGAGTAAAGGGGATCAGAAGGGATAACAATGGCTGCCCCTGAACCAATGTTGACGATAGCCCCTTTCTTCCTTTGGAGCATTCCAGGCAAAACAGCCTGCGTAACCTTAGTAGTTCCTTCCACATTGACCTTGATCAGATCAGCCAGCAGCTTCTCATCCACCTCGTGGAAAAACCTCGCGTACGGGTAAGAAACCCCCACGTTATTGATCAGTACCCCCACATCTAACCCCTCAATCGCCTCCCGGATTCTCCGGACGCCGTCGTCCAAATCGCCGGAGAAATCCACCACCACGCTTTTAATCTGGATCTGCCCGTGCTTGGCTTTTATGGAGTCCGAAACGTCTTTGAGCTTCTCCGGGTTCCGACCCACCAGAACCAAATTGAGCCCTTTGCGGGCTAACTGAAAAGCGAATGCCTTCCCGATGCCGTCGGTGGGTCCGGTTACCAGAGCCCACGACCCGTATTTCTTGAGGTTCTTTCCGGGGCGGAGGAAATTGACGTGCACCCATTTGAGGATGGATACAGAGATGGCGAGGAGTTTGAGGAAGCCGAGAGCTAGAAGAAGGAGAAGCCATGAGGGTTGAGATTTGAGGAGTTGATAGAAACAGGCCTCCATTATTGTGGGTGTGGAAGGGGAAGCTCTCACTCGCAATTCACAAAGATGGCTGTGAGCTCTTGCTTTTTATGGGTTGGGTGACTTCCTCCTTCCTCGAGCAAATAAATACAGTTGGCCAAACTTAGAATAAATGCGAGTGTTAGGAAAATGCAGTTGGGCACTGCCACTCCATTGATTAATACGGCATATGTCCATCCTCCTACTTTGCCACCGATTCTACGTGTATTTCACCGTATTTCAGGCCTTTTTGGTAAAGGTTTGTGTTTAGCGGGTTGTATCAGCCATTTTGATTAGTAGATTGATTTGACGTTTTGATCAGCTGATTAGTTTAAAAATGTTTGGTTGTTAGGGGTTTGAATAGAGTTGTTTCTAGATAAAATTATATAGAGAAAAGGGACAAATAAGGTCACGCACTAACAAAAAAGGTCAAATAAGGCCTTATTTAACACGCTCTATCCGGCCGTCTTCATTGGGGGTGGTTCCCGGAGGAATTTTTTGATGAAATTCTTTAAGCATCTTATTCAGTAAGTCTAGTTTACTCATACCAAATTTCAGCTAAAACTTCAATCGGGAAGACATTCAAATGAATTCTTGAAGATAACTGTGCAGTTAAAAGCGCAATTATCTTCCAGAATTCATTTGAATGCCTTCCCAATTGAATAGTTAGCTGAAATTTGGTATGAGTAAACTAGACTTAATGAATAAGATGCTAAAAAAATTTCATCAAAAAATTCCACCAAGAACCACTCTAAATGGCGAAAGCCGGACATAGCCTCATATATAAGGGTTTCTCTTCATTTTTCATATAATTTTTTTTATCTTTTTTATTTATAAAAATAGCTTAATTTTCTCCCTCATAAATCAGCAGAAATAGCCAATAGAGCCACTTCAGTTAGAACTTCTTAAATTTCAGCAGAATAAGTCAATTCAGCCAATTTCAGTGTTACCAAGCAGACTCTTTATGAAAAAACTGGTTGATAAGTCGAAAAACAAGACCAACAGACTCTTATACTCTTTAAGAAAGTACGTAGCATCATCTTTTTTAAAAACTATAGTCATTAAAAAAGGATGTTCATTCTTCTTGACAGAAATTGCCTTATATAGGAGTAAAAACGTTTTGAAATTCCAAAATAGGAGTATCATGTTTTTTATTCCCTGAATAGGAGTAATCTGCCAAGTTTGGAAGAAAATGCCATGTTTAAAGCCTTGTAATGCCTAAACTTGGCAGAAATTTACTCCTATTTAGGGAATAAAAAACATGATACTCCTATTTTGGAATTTCAAAACGTTTTTACTCCTATTTAGGGAATTCTCTCTTCTCTCTTTTCTTGAACTACAAAATCTGATTTTCAATTCCCAAAGAAAAGAAAACACGAAATAGAAAACTGAAAACTACAAACTCTAAAATTTTCAAATGGGGCCTTAACAATACCCAAATGACAATCGATTGAGTAATATATGCAAAATGCATTTACGAATATAAGGGTGTCAAATGGTGCAAGAAAATTTTCATTGCGAAATGCAAAATACATTTGCATATAATACGCCTATGCTGATGCATCTTGATTCCACATTTTCTTTACCTTCCGCCAAACAACGAATAAAATACTACGCAGTATAATTGAAGAGAATAAAATGTGTGATTGTATTAATGAATATAGTCTCGCAACATACTTTTATTGCATGTTTCTTGTATTAATATGATTTATAGAATCTCACAAGCGCTTTACTAACAAAAAACAGAATCCAATATACGTAGTAATTCACTATACAAATGAATGACTATGAATCTATGATAAAGTCTCTCACACACATACACATACTACCTTTCTTCTTTAAATCTTTGCAACAAGTTAAAATTTTCACTATGCGCATAAATATTTTACTTATTAAAAATATTTAAAAATATTGTTAAATTCCTCTAATTTTTAATTTTCAATCTTTTTTTTATATTTTACTAATAGAGAATAAAATAGATGCCAAATTTGTGCGATGACAAATATAAAAATGAAAGCTTTGCAACAAAAAGGAGAAAGTATACGATTCCATGGTGGAGTGATATATAAATCCTTAATTTGTTGCTATTAGGTTATAGTAGCTAGGAGTTGATATATCTCATTGAGCTCTTAATATCGATGTGCTCAATAAAGAGAGAATTGCAATTTTAGTCCTGTAACTTTCGGATGTGCCCGTTATTAGTCCTGTAGTTTTATTCAGTTGCAAATTTGGTTATGTGCTTATTAAATCTTGGGAAATTATCCTAAATAGGACAAAAAACGTATGTATATTCCAAAATAGGACTAATTACAACCATGTTTTGGCAGTACCAGACTTTAAACATGACTGTATTTTCCAAACTTGGCAGTAATTACTCATATTTTGGGAATAAAAATATGACAGTCCTATTTTGTAATTTTCGAACTTTTTTCATCCTATTTTGGGAATTTACCCCTTAAATCTTTACAATTTAAAGACTTTTCCGTCGGAAAATACACTTTTGGGCCGTAAAAGTGCCGGGACAGATGTCAATGACATCGAATTTTCTGCCAAAAAGTATATATTCCGGTGGAAAGTACTTAAATTACAAAGATTTAATAATTACAGGATCAAATCTACAACCCAGTGAAGTCACACGACTAATAACAGGCACAACCGAAAGTTATGGGACTAAAATTGCAATTCTAGTGGATGTGAAGGTAAATATTGACTCATCCAATGATCCAATAAAGAGAACAACTTTATGTGGTTTACTTAATATCAGGATGAGGAGGGGACTTAGGATCAGAAATCTTGTGTGATTAGAAATTTAGAATGTGTAATAGTCTAATGTATTGTAATTATGGAATAACGCTCACATGCATAGTGCATACACGCGCATGGTCTACCTTTCGGACTTGAAAAATGCTCTTTGTACACGAGAGTTTGTACACGCTATTGTATACACCGGTCAAATTGCTTTGTATGCAGACAATTTGACCGGCGTGGTATGAAGAAAACCAATTTTTGCACAGATAAAAAATTTGGCTGTATATTTTTTAAATTGTCTATGACATAGACAAAAAAAAATTCTGTGTGAAAATCGATTTTTTTCATAAAACGCCGGTGAAATTGTGTATATATAGACAATATTATCAGCGTGTACAATGTCGTGTACACGAAGCAGAACTTCAAACTTAGGCTTGGACTTTGACGTGCAAGTTTCAAACTTGTTATGAATGGGGTCCTTTATAAAACCTGTTACGAGTTGGGCTTTATAAAAACATGATGATGGTCCTTGAGACTAGGGGTTGTAAGTCCCAACTTGAGTCGACAACACAAGTATGAGGTGAGTATAAAATTTATCAGAGTAACAATATGCTAGAAATGAATATTGGGTTGATCCTTTTTTACAAATTGAAAGGTGATATTTAATTTATATTGAAATATGAAAAACTTGGGGAACAAGTAAAACTAATTGATCTAATAAGAGAATGCCACATATAGAGAATATCTGATTTATTGATTGACACTGATTGTTGCGTAATTATCCTTTGCTAATAGAATAGCTTGATACGCCACACGTGTATGTCGACAGCTGATTGCGGTACAAATACGAATGACATCAACCCTAGAGTTGGTTATTCCCCGCTGATGTTGCCTTTATACCTTTACTTCACTAAGAATGTTAGTGCTAAAATGACCAAGTCCACAAATTTATATGTCTCTGAGCTGGCCTGGGTATAGAGATGCCTAACTCAGATTTGAATGCTCGGATTAAGTTCCCATACCGGAATTGACCCTAACCTCGGCTTGAGTAGCGAGCTCAGCCTCGACCGCAATTTCGAATTTATCTCGATGATCTGAGAACCGGATTCAAGCTCGGCCTTAGTGGGCTTGACCTCAGGTTTCTGTATGTAAAGTTGATACCCCTTTATGTAAAGTTGATACCCCTGACGTTTATGACAATATACTACATCACATGATTTGCTCAAAACTCAATTGTATTATAGCATCCAATCACGCTCACGAATATATAATTTAATATTCTTGAAAATACACAAATTTAATGAATTGATGTAATTCTTCATGTGTGTAGCCTTTATAGAAAATGCATTATTCTATTCTAAAATGTTATTACCCTCTCGGGTACATTTTCATCTCCATTTTTTTAAAGTACCCTCTTGTCATTTCATGCTTCTATGTGATATCAAAAGGCGTTCTTCAATACTTCATTTTAGCTATACTCACAAAAAGTGTTAAATTCAAAGAACGTGTCTCTTTTGAAGCAGAGGTCTCTTCCCAAAAAACCACCCCGACCATCATCCTTCTCCCACACGGCTTAGACCCACAATTTATATCTTTTTTTAAATAAGGGAAATAAAAATCGATAATGAAGCAAACAAGTGAGTCTCATATCAAATTTCAACGAAGGAGTTTCACATTGCAAAGAGGAAATAAATCAAGACTTGTGGGTCTGCTATAGACCAACAAATTTAAAAAAATAAAATAAAATTAAACTGAACTTGCTATTGGGACTGAAATCAAGCAATTCATTCTCTAATTTTGAAAAACCGCAACAGATATATTCCAGTATGCGGTTCTAGTCCATTCTGCATATTGTTAAACTAAAATAAAATTAAACTGAACTAGCTATTGTTAAAATGTTTGCATATTTCTGCACACAGAAGTTTTCATACTACTTCAGACTACTAACAAGTTACAAACAGTCCATTCTTCTGCTCCTCCTCTTCTTCTCCATCTCTTCTCCTTCTTTATTTCCTCTACTTCTCTTATTCCTCTCCTTCTCTCCTCTTTCTTCTTGTACTAAGCAGTTGGTCATCTTCTCCTAGAACTGGTCAAGGTTTTACAAGATGAAAGATGGACTTTTTAAATTGTGATACTTTTTGAACTTTTTGAACCAATGATGAGGAAAATCTGTGTTTATACTAGTGTTTGTGTTTGATACTTTTTGGACTTATAATTATCCATTTCTTTAGTTGTTGATTACTAGTTTAACTATTATACGATAGTATGTTTTATCTATTGGTATAGTTTGAGGATTACGCCTCAATATGCTTTGAGGCTTATGCCTCGCCGCTCCGCAACAAACCGCCTCGATAACCGAACTAGCCTTTATAAACCTTGGAGCCAAGTTGCATAATTGGTGATTAGACAGAATTGTGTTGGTGATTATACCTTGAAAGGATATAATTGCTGATTAGATTTATTTTTATTATATATTTAAATACGTTGGCTGTATTTAGTAAAAAAAATGGCTGTAAATAGAATTGTCCTTGCTGCAATCAATCATATATGCAATACCACAGTTCAAAGATTTTGTTCAGGAAGATATGGATGCATACTATATCAAATGATCTATTTATTGATGAAAAACATCAACAATGAATTTGAATGCAGTTTCTGGGTGTGCAATACCTTTTGACTTATGATTCTGAAGTCCACGGTGGCACACATGCACTCCTGCAAACAGAAAACAATTTTTTTATGATGACAGGGTATTAAAAATGGATGTATTGTGTTAGAGTGCCACATCTAAATATCAAAGGGAGAATGACTTGTAGGGTCTTGGGTAAGATTAGCTAATCAATTGGACTTAATCTTTTCTTTGGTGTGGTTTGTCCTGATTCTGATATGACCGAGTTAAATGACCTCAACCCAATCTTGAATTCCATCACATTATGTGGTTTGCACATGAATATGAGCACAAGACACTTACACTTGTTTTAACTCTGAATACTGTCATTGGTATCCTTGAATCAAACTTCGATATCCGGATCGCATCCTCTTGGTTTCATTATTTTATTCAAATATGCATTCTACCATGTATTTCCATCATTTTCAATGGAGCCAAAGACTCACTATTTTTTGGCTTGAGAATATGATGGAATAAAGCAAAAAGGCTCACTAAACTGTCTACGCTTCTTTATTATGGAGGAGTAGTCAGTGTATGCAATTCTCTACGCGAATTTCACTATGGGTCATCCGGAAACAGTCTCTCGGTGCTTTAGTACAGGGGTAAAACTGCGTACATCCGAGCCCCCCTTACCCCATCGTAGATGGGGGAGCCTTTGCGGCACTGGGGTAATGATGATATGCATTCTACCATGTCAATTTCTTCAGTCAGAGATCTTAGAACATATTCTGCATGAGAAACAGGCATGCATGACTAAAAGAAAAGAAATTATACAGAACGTTTGTTCCTATCAGTTACTAGATGGATTTCATGGATCTCACCAAGTCCTAGCTGAAAGCCCTCTAGCAATTTGTTGCCCAAAGATGCTGGTTCTTCAAGCTCTGCAACCCTGGAAAACTAAAGGGAATGAAAAGTATGCAAGGGAATTAGAACTATTAATTTTTATTTACCTTGGAAATAGATTGGAAAATCATTTTTTATTCAAACACCTTTAAAAAATGCATTTAGATTTCTTACGCTGAATTTAAAGAAATTAAGAACTAAAATGAGTTTGAACAACAACTACTACATTACCCCAGTGCTGCAAAGGCTCCCACCTACGGTGGGATAAGGGGGTGTCGGATGTACGCAACCTTACCCCTACACTAAAGCACACAAAGATTGTTTCTCGATGGCCCATGATGAAAATCACGTAAAAAATTGCATGAATTGACTGCTGCTTCATAACTAAGAAGCTCTGACAATTTATGAGCCATTTTGCTTTATTCCATCATATTCACAAGTAATACAATAGTAAGCCATTTTACTTTACTCCGACATATTCATAAGTCAAAAAATAGTGAGCCATTTTGCTTTATTCCATCATATTCACAATTAAAAAAATAGCGAGTGTTTGGCTTCATTGGAAATGATTGAAAAACTAAAATGAGTTTGAATAGATATCTAAAATACGTAGGAAAGTAGAGGAGGCTTATTAAGTGAGGTGTTCAGTGCCATAACATTCTCAAGATGCTTTTGTTGGTCCCAAGTTGCTTTACAAACTTCAAACTTACCTGGTCCATGGACTTCTTGATGCCGTGTTAAGTGGACTTCTTGAGAAGATGTGCAAGATATTTTCACTACACTAATGCTCTGGTCCATCTTCTTGATTTTCCATCCTGAAAGAGACAAAGATTAGTTAATATTATCACATTATAAGATTCCAACGTGAAAAAGAAAGCAGATATTAACACAACAAAGAACAGAAAGCATATTTAAAATTGTGAAATATAATGATATAGTTGCAATGAAGCCAAAGACTCACTATTTTTTTTTTACTTTGGGGTCTGGGGGAGGGGGCTGGGGGAGCCTGGAGTAAATAGGGTTGAAACTCACTCCATTGAGTTTCGAACCCTTATGTGCCTAGCGGGTTTCGAACTAGAGACCTCCCACTAGGCACAGTAATCTCACAACAAAAAAAATAGCTAAGAGGATGGAGTGTAGAAAATTAAATACCTGCTGGATATAGGAGGATATGAAAGGTTATTGAAGATCGGTGAATAGCTTGACGAATATGAAGGAGACTAGAGGAAAGGATAAGTCATGAGATGTTCTACGGTGTAGTATGTGTGGAAAGCATTTGAGTTGAACTTTGTGTCCCATTGTTGAAAGTTAAGTTGGAACCAAATTGTTAGCTGGTCCAAATGTAGAAAGGTAACACTGTACTAAAATAAGTTCCGACGCATGCACATATAGTCATGGCTACGTCCCAGTCTACCATCACCTGAGAGAAGAATTTTAGAAGCCAGAAAAGTGATAAAACTCAAATTATATACTCTAGTTAGGGATTTTAAGCATGACGGAACTGCACCCAGGAATCTTTTCGGACCCTTTATTGGATAGAGACAACCTTGTATGCTCAGCTTTCTCCCACCGATCAGAGGCAGCATAAATGTTGGACAGCAACACATAATGACCACCATCACAAGAGCGACTGCTAGAGTTCAGCTTCTCAACCTCCTCAAGCACACGTTCTGCTATATCCATGTTGCAGTGAATTCGGCATGCTCCAAGCAGAGATCCAAAAACTGTGTCATTCGGATTTATAGGCATCTGTTTGATCAAATCAAGAGCTTCATCTAATTTCCCGGCTCTTCCTAAAAGATCAACCAAACAACCATAGTGCCTAATGTTTGCCATTAACCCATAATTCTTCTCCATCATATTGAAAATTGACATACCCTCATGTACACACCCACCGTGTGCACACGCAGACAGCACTGAGAGGAATGTAATCTCGTTAGGAATCACACCAGAAGAGTTCACCATTCTTGAGAAAAAATCGATAGCCTCCTTATGTTCTCCATGAACGGCCAAGGCACATATCATAGAATTCCAAGCAGTGTCATTTTTATGTAGCATTCCTTCAAAGATCAATCTGGCATTCCTTAAATCACCACACTTGGCATACATGTCAATCAACCCATTCAGCACAAAACAGTTCACATTAACACCTTTTTGAATTATCATCTCGTGTATTTCTTTGCCAACATCCAGTAAAGCCAGCTGAGCAGAAGCTGATAAAGCACTGACTACTGTAACCTCATCTGGCTCGAACCCTTCATCTTGCAACCTTTTAAATGTTCCTAAAGCTTCCTTGTACAACCCATTTTGTGTATATCCAGAAATCAGTGAATTCCAAATCACCAAATTCTTTGATGTCATCCTCTCAAAAATATCTTTAGCACTCTTAACTTCACCCGCCTTGAAATACCCTGATATCATCAATGACCAGACATAAAAGTTCCTTCTCGGCATCACCTCAAACACTTCCCTTGCAGCATCCATCTCCCCACTGCTAGCGTAACCATCAACCATCACAGTCCATGTCACCACATTTCTCAACTCATTTGGTACCTTATCAAAAAACATCTTTGCCATCGCTATGTCCCTGTTTCTCCCATAGCCATGGATCATTTCGTTCCATGTTACGGAAGTTCTCTCGGGCATAGTCTCAAACAGAATGGATGCAGATGTTGTATCCCCGTTCTTCATATACCCACCTATCATTGCATTCCATGTGATAGCGTTTCTCTTAGGCATATCATCAAACATCTGGCGCGAACTCACAATGTTGCCACATTTGCAATACATGTCAACCAATGCAGTACCCACGATTACATCCAATTCCACTCCAGACTTTATACAATCACCATGTAATGCATTGCCAAGAACAGTATTAGAGAGTGAGGCACAAGCCTTTAGCACAAGGGGTACGGCACCTAATACTAAGTTTCTTGTAAAGCGGTTTCGGGCATAGAGCAAAATGGCTTCTTCATACTTCTTTTGGGATACATAGTTCCTTATGTGATATGACCAATCTGATAGTGGCGTTGGAAGGTTTTTTAAAGAGAAAACATCAAGATTTTGTTTAGAAAGTTCGGGTTGTGATCCTGGGAGGTTTATGTGTTCCAAAGTCAGTGATTTTCTCTTTTGAAATACTAGTAGGTTTGTTGGTCCAATGATATTAACCATTCTTGTCTTCAAAATGGTCTGTGCCTTCATTCTCAAGATATCTGACCTCTCATTACACTAGCTACCAGGCCTACAAAGATGGCCCCTTGAGAGTTGAGATAGGTGAGTGCTTTTCATCACATTGAAATTGACTGAATATACTTAAATTGATGAAAATTCTATATGAAATGTTTGAATGGATTAAATCTGCCTAATTATGGAAAAATTATATTTAATATACATTTCATTAATAAAGTAAAGGAAAAAATTATACGAAAAATACTTAAAATGGTCTTATACTGACTACCGTAACTTCAGTCAATTTAGTCCGAAAAGTAATAACAGCTTTATTTATTTTGATTATTACACAATTCAGAGAACAAAATTAAAATTACGTGTTTGATAAAAGGTTGACCTATAAGAGTAATAAGTTGAAAATAAGTGTTACCATATAAGCTTTACATCTCACACTTATTCTAACGCGTGCGTGAGATCTTAAATTTAAGTCATCAAGTGAATTTGAAACACTACCTTTAGTGTTCAAGCACTCGTGTGTGAGTTAATTTCTCAGTATAAAACTGATATGGTCGACCAATAAGCTTTATTTACATCAGAAAGTGTGATGAGAATTTGAGGACACGTAAAATAAATTAAATAAGACGATTTCATGTGCGCAGTGGTGTATACGCAGGCATTAGGAATTTGGTGGATTGTTCAAGCAACTCAAATTTAGTTCTCTTAAGGGTTACGTTTATGGTGGATTCTTGTGAGCCCGAGATCAGTCTAACGAAGTCAGATATCAATCTAACTGTGTAAGGCACCGATGACTCACACATGATATATCATGTGTGATATATCAGTCTAAATATCAGTCTATTTTTAGCACCGATGAGAACCTGAGGACACGTGAAATAAACTAAATAAGACTGTTGATTCCATAATCATAACAACAGCAAACCAAAAAAATAGTATTATTTTTATTAATATTATGACTATTATTATTAATATTTCAAACATTATTATTATGATTATTTGTTTGATGATATCTTGTGTTCACATGTGTTTTTTGACAAATCTTATGTTCACATGTTGAAAATTAAAATATATTTAGAAAAATTGACAATAATAATCCCACATTTCAACGATCTTCTAAGAATAATCTCACATTTATGTAATATCAGAATAATCTTATCTTTGCAGCTCATCTTCTTCCGTTGGTCCCCGATCGATTGATAACCTGCTATAAAAGTTTTTTTTTGCGTTTTTTGGAAACATTTTATGAATGATTCCATCTTGCACATATCTTCTCAAAACGGTCTCCTGTTTCATTTTTTCTTTTTTCTCCCCGATAGTTTTATTTCTTTATTTTTATCCCTAGACACTTTTTTATTCTTTTTGTCTTCTTTTAGTTTTTATTTTTTCCATATTTATGTATTCTATTTCTCAATCTATTAGGAGAGTTTTTTTTTTGCAAAGTTTCCTACCGCGACAAGTATTTCTCTTCTCAACAATTCTCTTTTTATAAAAGATCCCTTTCCATATAGAGCCTAAACTAAACAAAATGTCCAAAACAACAGTATAGTTAATTAACCTGAATAGTATTTCTAAATTATGTCTGAGTTTTCTTTGAGAACACACAACCTATTCTCTCAACCTAGAGTATTCTTACGAAATGTGAAGCGACCTTTTATTATTTCAATCTAATAAGGAACTTTCATTATTCCAGCATGTGGCTATTGCTTAAAGAATACTTTTGTTGCTTGGTTTTCTATAATCTGTAATAAAGTAATGGCAGAATATGATGGAGTTAAATTATACTATCTGATATTAGTTTGGACGTACTCCAATGTATTTTTATTATAGTTATATCATATTATTTCATATATTTAGGCACGTACTTTAGAAGATTTTATGAACGTTTTCTTATAAAAAGCTGAGCAATCTATGTATGATTACATAAAATACGTGAATACTTTCTTATAGCAAGTTTTGATAATCATCATCATCATCATTACCCCAGTGCCGCAAAGGCTCCCAACTACGGTGGGGTAAGGGGGGTCAGATGTACACAGTCTTACCCCTGTACTAAAGCACAGAGAGACTGTTTCCGGATGACCCAAAGTGAAAATCGCGTCGGAAATTGCATGAGCTGACTGCTGCTTCATAACAAAGAAGCGCAGACAATTTAGTGAGCCATTTTGCTTTATTTCATCATATTCACAAGCCAAAAAATAGGGAATCTTTGGCTCCATTGCTAATGATGGAAGTATAGCAAGTTTTGATAATATGGGCAGGAAATTATTAAGGAAATATTAGAGTTTTTTCTCTCATTTTCTTTCTGTTGTGTACTGTTTATCACTAAAGTTGTAGTGAATATTTTAAATGGATTATATAGGCTCTGACTAAAATGCACCTAAAGGTTTAGGCTGTGACTCAAAAAAATAGAATCACTAAAATGCACCTAAAGATTTAGGCTCTCATTAAAAAAAATGAAATCACTACAATGCACTTATGCACCTCCGGTTGTGTTGGCATATTGTACCTCCGGTTGTGTCCCATATTGCAACTTAGGTCACCCATTTCTATCTTCATGGCCAGATTGATTCTCATGTTGTCGCTGCCTTCATAGTGCTCCATCAAATTGGGTTACAAAGTTGTTGGCCAGATTACTAAAGTGAAGGATGATAGGGAGTGGGAGATCATTGAGTGAAGAAAATCACTTTCTAGAGATGGACCAGTCAATGCATATAACCACAGAAAGATAAATTTGGAAGATAAATTGAAGGCATGAAAATTTTGAACGTGTCTTTGGGTGTGTACTGTGTAGATGTGACCTGCTGACTTTTATTTTCTTTGGTAACAAAATAAAATTGTTTTACCCCAAGTTTTCTTCCATACGTTTGCTTTGAAAGAAAAAGTTGATTTGAACAATTACCAATCCAAGAGAATTCCTAAGCCTGACAAGGGCAAATGAAAGGTGCTGTCCTTAGCATGCATGTTAAGGCTTTTTTTTGGTAGCCTTATCACCCTTATGTTGCTTATTGAGTATAATTAGCGGTTTTTTGACTTAATTTTGTTAAAATGCATGTCACCAAGGAAACTTTTTTATTTCCAAAAATCCAGCAGATGAGGCCATTCCAACAAAAATTCTCTATGTGAGGTTGAAGTCTTATTGAATGGCCTGAGATTTATGTTGCGAAGTACTATGGTTCTCAGTCAGGTACATTGATGTTGTTACAAAAACAGACACACTCCCCTGAGCCAATAAGCCATTGATCACGAGTTTTGTTCTAAAAAATGCTTCTCTATTCCAAGAGGTTGATGTTTTTTTTATGTTCGTGCCAATTAGGGGTGGGAAAAACCGAACCGAAACCCGGAAACCGACCCTGGACCGACCCGAATTATGATCCCGGTCCGGGTTTTTTCTTTTTAACCGGCCCGAATTAAAAAAAAAAACCCGGACAGAACCGAAAATTACGGGCTCATTAACGGGCCTTAAAATCTATAACCCGGCCCGGACCGAAAAAACCCGAATTAATTAGTTTTAATATTAAATTAATATGGTATATGAATATAAATAAAATATTTCCTAATATATGATTATAATCACGGTTGATAAAAAAAGATTTAGTAACTTTTAGTGATGACAAATATGTTGAATTTGTTTGGCGTAATGATGACCATGGGAATATATTTATAGCAACTCTAGTAACTTTTTTATTTATAAAATTTATTTCGTAATATTTTTAAGAAACCTATATTATTTATATATATACATCTTACATAAAATATTAAGATAATTATCTTCTTTAAATTTGAATTGTTGGTGATTTTGGAGACTAATATTTGTGTTATTATTTGCGGTTTGTATTTTTGATTAATTTTATTTGAAAATAAGTGTTAAAATATAAAAGAACAATGACATATTTCACGTCCGGGCTTTAATCGGTCGAACCCGAACTCGGACTGAACCTGGGCTACCAAAAACCCAACTCGGACCGAATATAATGAGCTTTATTTCGGTTTCTAATTTTCATAACCCGAGACATTCCGGGTAATTTCCGGGTTTAGCAAAAACCCGATCCAGACCGGACCGATCCCACCCCTAGTGCCAATGAGGGATCTTGCTTGGCTCCTTTTAGGGACACAAATTCTGCTATTCATCATATTAGTCATTTCTACTTTTATCATATCTATTGCTCTTAATTAACGTGTAAAATGTTTACTTTAGAGGGAAATTAGCTGATTCTACTGAAAATTATGAAGTTCTGGCTTAAGTGGCTGTATTGGCTGATTTTGTTGATTTATGAAAAAATTAAATTTAAAATATATTTTATTAATAACACAAAGAAACAATTATATGTAAAATAGCTAAAATGGTGCTCTATAGTAACTTCAACCTTATTTTTTCTTATTACGGAGTATTACACATTTCAGCGCGCGAAATCAAAAGGTACGTGTTTGATGAAAAAATTGGTCGATAAGCCTGATAAGCTGAATAACAGTGTTACCAAACGGGCTCTTGGTTTGCCTCAATTAATTTGATGATCCCCATCCCAGATTCAGGATTTAAAAAATTACTGTAGTTAACTTATTCAGGTTGAAAACATGGAGTCACAAATGTTTAAAGTTTTAAACTATGAACTGAATGTTGAAGTGTTTTATATTTATCATATTCATCAAAATAAAAATACACAATCCTGCCCTCAATGCGATGCCCCTTGAATCAATTTCAGATAACAAACAAACTAGCACTTTCAAATAGAATAATAATGCAAAGCAGGAGATGATAGATCAAAAGTGTGCAAATGATAACGTTGTAATAAAATTTAGGGCATTTCTTTGTTCAATTATTGTTATTATTTCTTTTTCTTAATGGAGTCCTTGAGTAGTCCCTTCTCCCGAATTTGGAGCATATCCTTCAAGCGCCAAGCATCAAAGAACGATTCAGGAACATAATGAAGCAATGCCAGTTGAATAGAATGTGGCCAATATGGCGTGCACCTCTCTTCATAACCTATACAACGCAAGGCTGCCTTAGCGTAACCGTCTGGGGATGGAATGAAGAACGACGATCTTCTCGTGGATATCATTTTTGTTGCAACATATAGAGGCACCTGCATGGTGATCCAATAAAATGTGTCAATGAATTGTTACCTATATACCCTATATGATATGATATGAGTTTGACATACAAACTTACAAGTTATAACAAAGAAAACAGTTTCAAGGAAATAACATCAAGGATCTTCATCTTGCGTCAAACATCAAAAATGAAAAAAGGTCATCCATTTTTCTGGTTCTAAACCAAATTTGTACCCCGTGTGTTGCTTTTAAACATAAAGCCTAGGCCAGCCCAGTCCCAATCTGGAGGAACCAAACCTTTCCCGGTTGAGCCTATTCTGGTCCGATTCGATTAAGGTGGTTCTGTTCCAGGCTATTTACCTGCCATGTCTGTCTTTCCCGTTTTTTTTCTTTCTTTCTGGACCTATGCAGTGATCCATTTCACATAGGACGTACCTGACATTGCACATCAATTCCGTTTTTCTTGTACTCCACATAAAGGCATCTTGAGAATTGATCAACATATCTGATTGTAAAATGGATTAAAAACAATTAGGATATGATTGTTAGACAAAAGTTCATGTCCGGAATTCCGGACAGGATCCGCCGTCCGGACGGCGGCGTTTGGCCGCCTTCCCGGTGGAATTTTTTGATGAAATTTTTATGGAATGTTCTCCATCAAGTCTAGTTTATCCACAAAAAAATTCAGCCAAAAACTCAATCGGGAAGGTCTGGTCTGGTCTGAACTGGTCTGGTCTGGTCTGGTAAGGTCTGGTTTCTTTGTATTTTTATAACTATCCAAGTCTGGTCTAGTCTGATCTGGTCTGAACTGGTCTGATCTGGACTGATCTGGTCTGGTCTGGTCTGGGACAAATTACAGTCCAAGTAAAAACATCCTTACTCTTATTTAGAGAATTTTCTCATTAAAAACTGAGTGCATATAATAGAAAATCACTAATAGAGTATGACTAGATAGTAAGTAGAGTACCTACAAAACACTACCATTCGTAGGTTGTCTAAACTTGTCTTTGTAAAATTGAATATTATCCTAATGACCTAATCACTACAATAAGGGCGAAAATACCAATACAGAATCACTTCATAAAAGATCAAATTCTCCTTTTATCTATGTACTTTCTTGCATCTAATTTATCTGTAAATTGAAATGGTGAGGAGGTCCAACACTTTTGATTATGAGATACATATATTTTAAAATAAAAGAAATACATATCTCCTTTATAAGACTTGACTAAAGTTGACTTACACTAGAATATGAAAGCAAAATTCTATAACTAACAATTGAGATTTATGTAAATGACAGAGATCGAAATGACTAAATTTGCATATAAAGAAATGAGGAGTTAAATAAGTGACTATATTAGGCTTAAAGCAATAATCACTCATCTAGATAAGAAGAAAAAAGTTTATACGAGTACTTCATAAGTTCATATGGAATACAAAGAACTTTATAAAAAAGTGAATGTTCATGGATTTCATAATAGTAAAATGGAAAGCACAATAAACTAATCAAGGACTAAAATCGTTTAGAGATTTTAAAATAAAAAACTTTAAAATAAAAGTATTACATTTTTATTTCTAAATTACAAAAGGAAAAGTGTCAATTTGGTTCTCGTACTATCATCAAAAAATCATTTAAGTTCTCGTACTGTAACACCGCCCCCAAGTATTTGTACTTTACCGAATTATGTATTGAACTCTGGGAAATGAATAAATGCATTTTTCGTAATTGTAAATGTTTATCATTTCTTTTACGTGAATAGTAAAATTCACGTGGGGCCCACACCGGAAGTGGGGGCCGCCCGATATTATCGGGACCGCATATTATATTCATTTGGGTCAAGATAATATGTGTATAATGGTGGATAGCCTGGTTGGGCCACAGAAGTTATGTGAGCAACCAGTTGAGCATGTGAAGCCCATTTATCGGTACCGAAGTAATATCAGATAAAAAGCCATAATAAATTATATAGACCACCAAATTGAAAGTTGGGGAATATACATTCATTCTTATAACCAATAGTAATTGGAAGGAGGATAGATATTTCATTTTACCCAATAAAACGAAATATAGTTAAAACAGTCCGGAAAATACAACTTTCGGGACCAAGTATGCACTTGGGGACACAAAGGGATGACCACCCATCAAAGTGGGGGCCACCCCACGTTTTTCCAGCTCTTGATTGAAGAGAGGAGTGTGCAAATGCTGACTTAAAATGATAGAGGCAGACCAAGGGGGGAGGTGGAGACAAGAGTTGACTCCAAAGGGACCCCTCACCTCTTATCATCATAGAATAAGCCAAACTACACCCCAATCACTCCCTATTATCATCCATTCGAACCAAGCCTTCATCCTGGAGGAGAGAAGGTCTGCAAATCTCCATTTCTATCACCCATACTTGCACCAAGGCTAAGGGAGAAGAAGGAGGAAAAAGAGAAGGGCAAAGAGGAGAAGAACTTGAGGATTAACAAGGTAATGACTTATTAATCCCATTCCTTTTCCTTAATCTTTCCATATGATTGCATAATCATATTTCATACCCCCAGGATCATTCTACATGTTATATGTGAAGAATGAGGGGTTGGAAGGTTGGTTCATATCCAAAACGGATTTAGAGTACAAAGTTGACCGGTTTGTCGGAAAATAACCTTTTAGAGGTTATTTGTGTTGATATAGGTTTTATGATGATAAAACCTTGTTGTTAACTTGTATAAGGTACTTCAAGGACTTTGACGGAGTTGAAAGGGTCGTCGGAGTTGTCGCCGGAGTTGGTTGAAGTTCACCGGAGTTTCACCGGGGCTAAATCGGGGAGGCTAGGACTTCATAAGCTTCTTTAAGGTGAGAAGACGGCTATATGCTTTATAACTTTTGATTGAGGCATGAGATTACCTAAAGTAATCAAGGATATGTTTTATGGAATGATTAAAGTTAATCAAGTTTTGGCTTATGCCATGATTATATATAAAACATAGTTGAAAAGCATGTTTTGTGTGTTTGGTGATTAAAAATGTGATAACTTATTATGTACAATGCTCCAGGGATCCAAAATGGTATTTTTGGATCAAGGACGACAAGGAGTACATGCGTATAAAATTTTGCGTTAATCGGACTTCGTTTGGGCGGTCAAACGGGCGTTGACCGCCGAGACAAAGGTGATACCCGACCGGGTATGGGTATATACCCGACCGGGTATTGGTTAGAAATGGCTCCAGAAGCAACTGTTTTACTAGACCCGACCGGGTAAGGGTATGGACCCGACCGGGTCTCAAGTAAAATCAATTCCAGGGGCTTCTGCCCCGACCTACCCGACCGGGCAAGGTTAGATACCCGACCGGGTATTGGACTGGGCCCAAAACAGGCAGTTTTGAGCAGGTTAACGGGGGTCGTTCAAGTGGGACCCGCCCACGTTGGTTACTAGGGATTATTATATGACTATAGGACTAGGCATTGTCCATAGTTAAGTGAATGGAAGGTTAGCCATATCCAGGTTAGGGTTTGGTTAGAAATAAGGTTGAGGTTGAGTATCCTCGGGACGGTAAACGATCCCAAAACTCGGTGAGGTTGAGTATCCTCAGGACGGTAAACAATCCTAAAACTCGGTGAGGTTGAGTATCCTCAGGACGGTAAACAATCCTAAAACTCGGTGAGGTTGAGTATCCTCAGGACGGTAAACAATCCTAAAACTCGGTTGAGGTTGAGCATCCTCGGGACGGCAAATGATCCCAAAACTCGGTGGGGTTGAGTATCCCCGGGAGGGTAAACACTCCTGAAACTCGGTAGGATATTATGAAGGTAGAATGTAGCTCGTGAGCTAGGCATTCGGGAATGAATGGGAAAGGTTGGGTAATCGCCTTACCTCTAAAAGACTCTTTGTGATAAAACGACCTACGGGTCAAGTATTTTACAAATATATACAGTATGTATTATCTTGGGAATGGGGTAACAATGGTTACACCTATAAGCATATGTATCACCCTATTTTTGGGTCTCGTGTCTGAAACATTAGTTATTCCTCATATAGCCTGCTTGTCACTAGTACTTCTATGGAGTACTGACCCCTTCGGGGGCCCTCACATTTTTCAGGTTGAGGCTAGAGCCCTACTACCTGCACCTTCGCCTAGGGTGATTGATCAAGGAGGAAGACGTGGTTCGTGCTTCCATTCTTATTCAAAGTTGATAAACTGCTCATGGATATTTTAACAATGTTTTCCATTAAAACATTTGAGGGCCTGCGTGTCCGTATTTGCCACGTGTGGCTAAGTATCAAACTTATCTTATTTTTCGCATTTGTTTGACTAATATATATATTGATGTTGATTGTATGAGTTTACTGATCGGTTTGGCAATAGAATCTAACGGACGCCTTGTATGATCTAATAAGAATGAACTACGTTGTTCTTAATGGGTTGTACGGCGGTTGTCTACGTGGCACGGATGCGGTCCGGGGCGTGACACGTACTTTGAAAAACTCATTCAAATCACCAAACTTTGTAAAAACGTTTAATTGAGTCCATTAGCAGGTTACCCGTCATGTCAGCAAGTCATTTGCTGACGTGACACACATGTGACAGTTAAATAATCAATGACTTTGTTGATGTGGCGCACACATGGAAGCCTAGTCAGCCATTTACCGATGACAAGACACACTCATGTACCGCCACGTGTGCTCCACGTCAGCGGGTGACCTGCTGACATTACTAGTAACCTGTTAATTGACTCAATTGAACTTTTTTTCAAAATTCAGGAATTGGATTGTTTTTTTAAGTATGAGAGCTTAATTGACTTTTTTGTGGTAATACGAGTACCAAATAATATCTTCTTGCAGTGAAACTTTACTTTATTTATTGAATAAAATCGTTTTTCAGTAAAAAAAACGACTACCAAATACTAATTGTCAAATTGGAAAAATACTATTTTTAATATTGATTAATACCAAATCTTGAAAAGTAATTTACTCTTCTTCCCAATATCTTTAATAATGATAGTGTGTAAAGATGGACATAAAATGTTTTTACGGGTGAAATGCATAAATGGTTCATTAACTATTGATAATGTTGCATTTTGGTACCTTAACTCTTAAATGAATCAAAACGGAACCTTAGCTATACATAAATGTTTCGAATTGAGATTTTATTCAAATTTCCGACAAAAAAATCACACGTGGTGGCCAGAATTCTAAGTGTAAAGTCTACTTCACCTTATTTTTATGGTCACCACTACGGTACCCATTTGAAAAATTGGGTACCGTACTTATCATTCACTTTATTGATCCAAATCATTTTATCATTTTTAATTTAGAAACTACCTATTTTTATTCATATGATCGCTATAAGGTGACTCTACAAATGAAATTTTGATCGTCATAAAAGATTTTGATTAGAAAATTTGCATAAAATTTTAATTTGAAACATTTGTGTATAATTAAGGTACTATTTTGAATCATTTAAGACTTAAGGTATCAAAATGTAACATTATCAATAGTTAAGGTACCATTTATGCATTTGACATATTTTTATTTGGACTGAAATTTTCTTATTTGATATGATGTGGTATGAGAGTGAAAAATAATACTTACGCTTTAGTGCCAGCATAAACAGCGTGAAGGGGAGCTGACGGGATGACAATGGCGGAGCCGGAGCCGATGTTGACGATAGCTCCCTTCTTCCTAATGAGCATCCCAGGCAAAACCGCCTTCGTAACCTTCGTCGTCCCTTCCACGTTCACCTTCAGCACATCCCCCACCACCTTCTCATCCACCTCGTGGAAATACTTGGGGTACGGATAGCAAACTCCCATGTTGTTCACCAGCACCCCCACATCCAGCCCTTCGATCGCCTCCCGGATTCTCCGAATCCCGTCGTCCGAGTCGCCGGAGAAGTCCACCACCACCGTCTTAATCTGGGTCTCCCCGTACTTCTCCCGGATCCACCCGGAAACATCTTTCAGCTTCTCCGGGTTCCGCCCCACCAGCACCAGATTGAGCCCCCTCCGCGCCAGCTGGAAAGCAAACGCCTTCCCGATGCCGTCGGTGGGCCCGGTCACCAGAGCCCACGACCCGTACTCCTTGAGGCTCTTGCCGGGTCGGAGGAAATAGACCCACACCCAATTGAGAATTGCCGCAAAGATGGACAGAAGCTTGAACAAGCCTAGAGCTAGTGGAAGAAGAAGGAGAAGCCACGGCGGTGGAGATTTGAGGTAGCAGTAGTAGTGTGGAGAAAACCCGGTGTCCATTAAAAAGAGTACTATACACGGCTAACAGTCGCAATGAGAGAACTAAAGAGTACATATGCTCAGGGGATCTATGTTCGTATTTGTAAAGTCTAGTACCTCACTCCAGCGATTTGAACCCCTTTTCATAAAATTCAAATTTGCTGGTCTAGTCGAATTATTCAAGTCTGGTCTGGTCTCGTCTGATCGGAAAACGGTACAAGTAAAAACATTATTAATATGCTTAAATTGATGAATTCCAACTGAAGTAACTGAATTTGTTAAAAATGTTAAGTTGTGGATATATTAGATTTTATTACTCCCTTTCGTCCATTAAAATTCTATCAAGTTTGACATGTACGAGAATTAATAAAATAAAAATTGTGTACTTAATGTTTGTGTAGATGAGCGAAAATTAATTGGACCCACAAATTCTTTAGTTTAAAGGGAAAGTGACAAAATTTGTGGGACAACCAATAAAATAAAGAAAGTTGACACATTGTAAGAGACATATGGGGTAATAAAATAGAGAAAAAATTATATCATACGAAGTAATAGTTAAAGGTCACTCACTTACGAAACTAACTTCAATATTCTTATTTTGATTAATGCACAACTCATCGTGAGAAAACAATAGTTACGTTTTTTTATTAAAAAAAAGGCTAAAGGGTCAAATAAGCCCTCGATCTAACTTAAAAAGTGCAAATCACCCCTTATAGAAGGTTCTGTCCGGCCGTCGCCATTTGGGGCGGTTCCCGGTGGAGTTTTTGATAAAAACTCCATTAAGATTTCAAATAAAAATTCAACCGGGAAGACAGTCAAATGATTTTCTGAAATGTTCTGCGCGGTTTAAATGCACAGTTATCTTCAAAAATTCATTTGACTGCCTTCCCGATTGAATATTTAGCTAACATTTGGTATGAGTAAACTACACTTAATGAAGAAGATGCTAAAAAAATCATCAAAAAATTCCACCGGGAACTGCCCCAAATGGCGACGGCCGAACATAGCCTCCTATATAAGGAGTGATTTGCACTTTTAAGTTAGTTCGAGGATTTATTTGATCCTTTAGCCAAAAATGTGATAAAAAAATTTTAAAAAAAAGTTATCAAATAGGCTGGAAATTGAAGTGTTAGGGAGTAGGGCTGGGCACGGGCCGGGTCGGGGCGGGTAATACAAAATAAAATGGAACCGCCGGTTCCATTGTACGGTTCGGTCCGGTCCGGGTATTACAATTTTCAAAATAGGAACCGGAAATTACCCGGCCCGTTTGAAACGGGTCGGTCCGGTCCGGGTTTTACGGTTTCTATTCTCATGTCTTGAAATTAGTAAAAACTCACGAAGTTCCAAAAATTAATAATCAATAATATAGGACATTAGCAAGTTTCAAAATAACAACATAATGGTGCATATATAACATAAGTGAAAAGTCCAATACTCCATATTTTCTTGTATATAAGTTTCAAACAATTAAAGAAATTCCAAAAATATGCAACATAGCCAAAATACATATTTTCTAACATTTGTATTTAAACATGTTGTCTAACATCACATATTTAAGTGATTGCTTTTTTTTATATTAAATTTTCAGTATTAGCCAAAGTTGACACATACATGGTGGCCGGGTGGTAAACACAATTTATATGTTTTAATAACAATATAACAAAAAAATATAACAAAATCGTCTTTAACAATTAATTAAATTCGATAGAAAGGAATAATTCAATAACAATAAAAAGTAGAAAGATATTTATGAAACATTTAATCAATAATTTGAAAACAAAAGGATGTTACTGCAACTCAATTTAAAATCCTACTTCTAGCACAGGAAACAAAACTATTTCAAAACCGATTATCAAAAAACTATTAATAAATTAATATACAATATATATATATATATATATATATATATATATATATATATATATATAACGGGCCGGGCCGGGTACCCGTTATTTTTTAATTTTGGAACCGGTCCGGTTCCTTAAAAAAAATTACCCGACCCTACCCGGACCGTTTTATGGAAACAAAAAATGGAACCGGCCCGTTTTGGACCCGAACCGCCATTACCCGGACCGGACCGCGGTTCCAAGACCCGTTTGCCCACCCCTATTAGGGAGACAAAAGGGTTTGTTAGGCCGTTAAATCATACATACTAAATGTCCAGCATACTCACTTCCCATTAAAGACGACAGTCCATTTGCGAGTGGTGGCAATTCCAATGCTTTGCGTAGTTTAATTCGGAAACCCTCCCGGAATTGGTTGTGCATGTTAATCACCTGGTGGCCTGGCTGGTTATGTAACTAATACACCGCATAATCTTCATTAAGAATTAATTTAAAAATCTATCACGCTTGGTGCGCATACCTTTGCACACTTTAAAATCTTTCGAAGTGACAACTTTTATTTGTCAAGTTAATCGTGATGAAAATTCAATGGTACAAATAAAAATGGCTGTCATAGATATTGGTTTTCATGTACAAAGACATAAGGTATTAGTGTGTAAGTCATTCTAACAATTTAATTAATGTGTTTAATAGGCATACGTTATGTTTTAAGTGTAACAATTTGTAAGTGTTAGAATTTTTTTTTCTATACAAGAACAAGAACAAAATTATAGGATGAGTCAAGCTAACATCACTACAACAACAACACTAATACACAAAGTGTATATCACTATATATATCACTAATGAACAACAACAAACTATTTATTTTAAGGACTGATCGATTTGGAGATAAAAGATAATGTTTTCATCTTCTCCTATCTTCTATCATACCTATTTATTACGTTGGAGAGCCCTTTCGAAGAAGTAGGCTCCATGATAAATTGTTTGTGGGTAACTTTTAAGAAAGAAGGACAGAAGGTGGAACCTTACACAATTTACTTCTAATTTCATTGGTTGTGATTATCGGTGACATGATTGGACCTAATTGTTAGATCTGGAGGATAAAATAGTAAAATATAAGGGTATAAATATGGTTGAACCAGATATCACTTCTAGTCACGTATTAAATACGCTTTCCTAAAAGTTTACTATCTACCCGTATAACAGTAACCGGGTTACCAGATAGAACTTTCGGGATAAGAAGAATGTGTGCAGTGTATTTTGACTATTGACAAAATAATACTAAACAAGTGATATGTATATAAAGTGGTCTAAACACTTTATTACTAATACTGCGAGTAATAGAGTAAGGCAATTTGAGGAGAATGACAAAATGATTTTGCCGTATCTCTCCTTCAACATGGTCCTCAAATATATATAGGTAAAAGGTGACTCAAAGAAAATAGGCTATCACCTTATATCAACCGAATGCTTAATCACTTAATGGCGGTTATGCACTTATGCCTATCAAAGATGAAACGGTGCGGCACTTCTAAAAGGATACGTACATCCTTTTATTAGCATTTTTAAAATAATATTGAAAAATTTGTCCTTCATGTGTCGCTGACATTCATGTAATTTCCATGTTTATGGTTGTGCTTTTATTTAGTTTAGATTGATTGTTACGTTGGAAATTACACACTTTTGGTGTAATAGTTTAGTTTGAAAAATGTTTGTAAATTGTTTAGATTAGGTTTCTTCTGAGCTCAAACAGGTCAAGGATCACTCTAGGGACCATTGGTGAACATCACAAGTGGAAGGAAGTTGCAAAAATTCCAAGAAGAAATGAAGATCCTGATTCTTGGTATCGTGTCCGGTCGAGTATGCCCTATACTCGATCGGGTAAGTCGCTGAAAAATCAAATCGGATCAACCCGGGAACAAGGCAACATGCAGGGGAGATTTTGACCACGATCGAGTGTCCATACCCGATCGGGTGGCCGACATACCCCATCGGGTATACCCCAGTTTTTTTACACTTCTGCGAAGCAACCGAGTACCTGATCGAGTGCCCTTACAGCCCGATCGGGTACACGACCCTGCAAGCCTAAAAAGCCTATAAATACACCTCATTTCCTCCACAATAAACCACCAATTCCTATATACTTCTAAGCTCAGTTTAGACAAGTTATTTCTCTATATTTTCTTCATGTTTAGTCTCCAAATGAGGAGCTAAACTCTTCCATCTTGGTTTTGCTACTTTGAAGCTTAATGAATTGTAAGTTGTGAGTTATTTTCTTTAATCTTCTTCCTTGAATATTAATTAATTCCTATTCCTATTATATATTAATATTTTGAGCATTACTTAAAGGATCAACTAGTTTTGTTTCATATATTAATTATTACTAGAATCGATCGACGAATACGCTTGTTAATCGTTCGATCGTTTCACTGTAGTAAACTTGGGTTGTTAATGCATGCGTCTCATGGTTAATAACCTAAGGGGAATTAAGTATATTGATTAAACCGATAAACCGCTTGTGTTGAGGTTATCAATCTCAATCGTTTTCATCTCTACAACTACTATTTTATTGCTACTATCGAGTGAATATATGGCGCATGTTCTATATTAACTCGGTAGTAAGTTTTATTAATGAACGCGTCTCGTTATTAATAACTACCCTCGATGAATTGGATATACTCCTCGATTGAGTATTCGAGAGGAAGATAGTTAAAGATATAACCGGGATCGACTAACATTTCATTTAGTGGATAAAAGCAAAGCCAAATCTTCTTCTCATTAATTAAACCATATAAGTCGTTCATCTTTGTGTTTAAATATAATTTAAAGTTCATCAACCAATCATAAAAAACCCCCCTTGTTACTTATTTAATTCTATAAAAAGAGAAGTGTTTCTTTCCCTGTGGATACGAACCTTACTACACTATACTACGTATTAGTGTCGTATTGATTATTATTTTGAGTGCATACACGACAAAGTGCACGTCAGCCGCATAACCTTAATTATGTTTGTAAAATATACGTATCACTTTAATATATAAAAAGTACATATAAGCTAACATATTAAAGTAATATTATTATAATCATTATGAGATCACACGTGCACAAGTGTTCTCATAATATATAATAATAATCAATATATTTAAATAACATCATTTAAATAAATCACATTATTTATAAAATGATTAAGGACCATGTAAATTAATAATTGAGCTTTATTTTCATTAAATCTCCAACACTGATGAGTAAAAAGATGTGTATAAATGACATATCG